AAGGAAGGTATTACTATATTATTCTCAGTTTGGATTGATCTTCTGAAGAGTGGCTATTAGCATAATACCTCAAAAAGCAAACAGCTGTGAACGTTTAATAACATGGAACACTTATTTCTCCTAGGTTATTCCTCAGGATACTGCTGATACTGCACCAGAAGATGGTGTTTATATCCACGGATTATTTTTAGATGGAGCTCGCTGGGACAGGACCAAGTCAGTAACAAAGTGTTTTACTATGGTTCTGGAAAGCTTTCCTAGGTGCTTAAACAAGATTTGTTTAAAAATTTTAAGTGATACTTTTCATATTGTTGAAATAACACACCAAATGAAATACTCTTTCATGCACGGAAAATGGAGAAGGAAAAAACCAAAAAACCCCAAGCAAGTAATAACCAAAAAAACACACACCAAACCCCTCTTCAGTTAACACCAAGCCACAAATAATTACTTTGTTGCTTTCTCTCACCAGGGGAATGTTAGCTGAGCAGTATCCCAAATTGCTCTTTGATATGATGCCAATCATTTGGATAAAGCCAAGTGAGTATAATTTCTCTGAAGTGTGAGCTATTCAACAAGAAGTTGCAACAGTGAATTCCTTTTTTACAGATCGATGCTCCTACCCTCACCAAAGTTACCCAACTGTGCACAGAAGTCAAGTGCATCTGACCTATGACTTTTACATTAAAAACTGGTCCTACTAGCTTCATCTCATCTGAGCAATAGGCCTGTCCCTTTCGCCACAGATGTTTATAATTATGAATTAGATGAAAGGACTAGCTAAATGAATTTTTTTATAAATATGTTTAGGTGCTGCCCAATCTATTTTTCAACCAAAAATTAATTTGGGTAGGAAAGCACATGGTGCTTGAATTCCTGGCTCTACTCAAGTTGAGGAGAACTTTTAGTTGACTTACAGAGACTCAGTGTTTTACCTCACATGATTTAGCAAGGTTTGCTCAGGTTATTTTTAGCTGCTATGCTAGTTGTCTGTCATACTAGTAAGATATTTTCCATAACTCTTGTTTTCTTTGATCAGGAGCAGTAAATCCCTGGTTTTGTTTATTCACTTCAGCAGGACTTTCTACTGCAACTGTTACAACTTACATGTTATTAGCTAATAGGCAGTCTTATAAAGTTTCCACTTTTTCTGCCCCTGCTTTCTCTTACGGTTGGATGAATCTGTTCAAATATGCATGACTTTAGACTTTGCACGAGTTGCATGTAAGCAGTCTAGGCATACAAAGAGTTCCTGCTGAGCTGCATCCTTGGGATCTCAGGTGATTGAATTGCAGTTAGGTTCTGTGGCTGCTGGACCAGAATTCTTGTGGAGCTGTTAAAAGCTTGCGTATAAACTGTGCTTTAAATAAGTAACTGTTCAGATTTTAATGTGTCTTTGAATGATTACAAAGCTGGTAGAATCACAGAAAGGCATCCGGTCCTGAAAACAAATTGTAGTTAAATTAGTTGGGTTTAAAACCAAAACAAACTACAAAAGAAAACACACAAAAAAGCCAGATAATTTTATTATGTTACTCACAAAACAGTTTTGCATTTTTACTTAGCTTTAAGGATGTTACTGTGAATACTTAATATTTGTATGTAGATTATGTTTCTATCAATAGATCTGCTGAATGTAGTATATTATTTTGGTTTTTTTTTGAAGCTGCAAAATCGGACATCAAGAAATCTAATGCGTATGTTTGCCCACTCTACAAGACAAGTGAGCGTAAAGGAGTCTTATCTACTACTGGACATTCTACTAACTTCGTCATTGCTCTGATGCTTAACACGGATAAACCAGTCCAACACTGGATCAAGCGAGGTGTTGCGTTGCTCTGCCAGCTGGATGACTAACTTTGGACAGTTCAGATTCAGACTTCACAAGATCCCATTCTTGTCGTTGGCCTATAGAGGAAGTAGAACATCCTGTGTAAAAGAAACATCTGGACTTTTTTGATACTAAAATATTTTCTGATCCTCAATATTTTGTCTTAAATAATTATGTATTATTATTAGCATCCTTACAATCTATAGAAGATACAGCTAGGATTTTAGCCTTTGGTAATATTATTGATGGGTAAACATCAATTTTATGCATTACTTGAATACCACAACATATATCTTAATGGAAAATGAAAATAGTCTGCACTTTCTGAGAGAAACATTACAGGTAATGAACTTGAAGCATTAAGAGTGCTGAATTATGTGAGTGGAAAGCTAGTAGGTAGTAAGTTTTGGGATTTCAATCTGGATTTCTGTATAGCCTATGTTCTGTCATAGCAACAGTGAAGACTGCAGTTTGAGAAATTGTTTAACTGTCTATAGTCGGTACTTCTGATGACTTCATTCCTCAGCAATTTAATCCTTTCAAGATTTAATTCAGATATTCTGATTTTTGTAAGTTTTTTTTTCCAAATAGTTTCTGTGAAGAATAAATGATAAAACCTCCCTTATGACCACCTGCTATAAAATGTTATCTGTTTCCCTATTGCTCCAGAGAGGCAGTCCAGTTTCAGTTCCTTCACTAATTCTGCACTTTTGTTTCCTTAAAAAAAAAAAAAAAAAAAATTTTCTCATTCTTCCTAGATCTCCTCTAGCAGAGAACTATTTCCACCTTGCATTCAGCCACAGCCATCATAATTTTGTTGTAAGGATCCCTCTGTAAAATATGGTAGGAGTAAACTAAGCACATGAAAGTCTCACTCCATCCTACCGTCACTATTATAACTAGGCATCTATGTCCTTTGTGTCTGTGCTTATTGTGTATTAAACCAGCATAAGTTTTCGGCGTAGGTCTGTCTTTCTGAACCTGTGCTTTTTCGTTTAAAGACTCTATATATTTATCTTTTGTTTGCTTTTCTATTTATAAGAATTGTGATTAAGCAATCAGAAACACATAGTAATTTTTCATAGCATTCGTACTTGGTTTTATTTGCTTTTTTATGTTTACTTTTATTGTTTTTATTTTTTCTTTTTACACTTACTCTTTTAAGTAAGTATCTACAGTATCTTCAGTTCACTCTCTTAGGAAAGCACTAAAGAATTTTCTGTCCATAATGTAATAGCTACTATTTAGAGTTCTCATTCTCGTTCAAGAAATTTTAACGAGTGTTTTTACAAAGAAACTGGATTTTTAATTCCTTCTTTTCCTGACACCATTTGTCAGGTCAGATTATTAAACATAACTAACCTATATGAAAGAAACATGGAGAAAGTCCCAGAGTATCTTATGATCGGGTATTTATAGTGAGCTATTAATGGACATAGGCTGCACTGAGATCATTTTCAATCCTGAAAATATCACTTTCAACTTAATAATCACTTCTTCAAAGTGTGAGGTCTTCCCTCTTTCAGAAGGTGAGGAAAACCAGTATATTTTCTCAATTCATATGAAAAATAAGTAGTCTTTTTACAAAAAAAGAAATAGTCTAGATTTAAAATGTTTATATACTCATTGTACTATAGATTTAATCGAATACTAACAGTTACTTGTGTGTATATTTTGTTACATGTGCAATTACAGAGCAAGCCCTTGCAGTCAACACGTTAGGTGGATCAGGTAACAGGTGATGCAGATTTGCTATGAATTACTGCTCCTCAACTTTAAGATGTTTCTAGAATTATTCCAAACTTTGTAAGTGGCATGTTGACAACTTCCTTCATTTTGCTGTGCTCATTCATTTTGCAAATTTATTTATTTGCTTTCAGTTTTTCTTATGACTTTTATGTTAGTTTGCCTTGGTTTTTTTGTTGGTTTATTTCAGGCCAACTCTCTTGAAAGACAGAAGTGGGAGTTTTGATAAGGTAAAACAGATGAGAGGTTTAAGCCTAACAGAACATCTGTGATTTTAAACTATAATAGCACATAGCTGAATATACAAAAGAACAGTGGGACTACCTATGCATATAACAGTATACATCTATACACATTATACTATTTAATGATTGATTTGATTGTTAATAATTTTTTATTATTTCTTTTATATTTTAACATCTAGACTTAACAGATAGTATCAATGGGATTTATTTCTATGCTCCATTGTTTGTATGACAATCTTAAAAGGGTAAAAATATTTTTGATTGAACCGTTTCAATTTGAGGAACTCTTTAAAATTTTTTTTTTAAACTAATGCTATTCTTAAGCTTTTATTTTTATTATTATTATTATTAACTCCATTGTGGTTATACCACTGTGGTTTATTTCTGCCTGTATTTGGACATATATTATTGCAGTATTTTATATATATATCCCTTACAAGTATTAGGAAAAAAAAGGCATGTATTGAGGAAGAAAATGCAGAATTGTAAGTTTATCTGTCCTAATGGCTGTAGATTATGTAGATAAGGTGGTAAAGTTGGTCTTTTTCTCAAGCATGGAGTTTGATGTTGTTTCAGTTGGAAGGCTGATGCACGTAATAGCACAAATCTACAATACTTTCCTGACTACAAGATATAGCCCTCATGATATCTTTATTGAAACAGTTTGAACAAAAGTGATTATTAAAAACTTTCATGTCCTTCACTTGTCCTTCACTTCCAGGCCTTCTGTGAACAAACTGAAAAAACATCATAGCACAATTGTGATGATATTTAAGTGTCTAAAAAACTTAGGAGGGAATGAGTATTTATCTGAAAACTAGGTTTTACTTAGTTTTGTTGCTGTCTAATAAGTAATGCCAGAACAAGTAGCTATTCTGTATGTTCAGTCGGTGGAACAGAGATAAAAGCTAGCACATGTTATTGGAATAGAAAACCTTTACTCTGTTCTAAATAGAATAACTCTTTGCAGTGCAAAATTAAAATAATTGGGAGAAGGCTGAAGCTTGAGATGGAGAAGTTCCGTGTAATTTATTTTAAACTATGTTTCGTTTCTCTTGATACTTAACCAGCAATTGCTATTTCTGTTATTCCAGATTTAACCTGAAGATTTAAGATCTGCTTCCAATTAAAAAGCAGGGTTTCCCTTCGAAAAGTGATCCAGATTGTGTTGATTTGCCATGTATAATTCTACATATCTGTTCAATGATGATTCTGATGATGAAATCCCTACCCAACAAGCTATTCAAGATAGCTTACAAGATAAGCATAAAATTGAAACCAGTGCCAGTGCAACAGAGGATGAAAGGTAGTAAGTTACTACTTCTATTTTGGGTGTTTTCTTGACATTACTATAAGCATGTAGTAACCTTATTTTCATTTGTGAGTCCGTATGTTGTATCGCTCAGACCTTGTCTAATGGACACTGGAAACCACTGGTAGCTCACTTGTTCTGAGTTCTCCCTGAAAAAGTATACCCATTTCCTTGAAAATATGGAATGTATGATGTTTTACATCAATACCTAAGTGAGTACAAGGCTTTATGAAGAAGATAAGTACGTGATGTAAAAATAGATTGGTATGGTAGCTTTCCCTCATTTTAGTATTGAATTGTTGTCTTTGTGTGAAAAATCCAATATTTATAGTGGCAGGGGAAGACCAACAAAAAAAGTGTTTTAATGTGTTAAACCCTGACAAAACCTACGTAACTTACAGAACTTTAACGTGTAGTCTAGACTTGACTATTTAAATTAAGGTATAATTATATCCTGAACCTCACATTTTTACTTATCTCTTTATTTTTGTTCTGTTTATGCAGTTTCCAGTATATTGCAAGCAAAGAACATGGAAAGATAATTGCAGCAATTCGGACAGTTAAGTAGAAATACACCGCACTAAGCCTGTACTCCGAGGAATCACTTGGATATTGCACTGTCGAGTAATGCCTACATTTTGGGTGTTTGATCACCTGATTTAAGTACACTTTTTCTTTATATAGTCTTGGGAGGAGTAAGGCAACTAAAAACAGGACACCCAGAAGCTAATTTATTAGATGGGAACATGGATTCAAATATCACTCCTCTCAGATTCCAGTGCTTCATCTCCTGGAATTAGGGGACAATGCCAGACCTTTCTTGTAATATAAACAACAGGATGGCAAGGCCCTCAGTCAGTTAATACTTCATAAAAGCATTTGCCACTTTGTGAGATACCCAGATTGAAATCCCTTCTCTGCCTCAAGAGTGTTCCAGAATTGTTCCTTAATTGCCAAACTTTAGTGTATTCCAGCATGAGATGCTCTTAGTCTGCTCCTCTAAAACTTCTACTTTTTGTGGTATAATCAATTTATATCTCCGAGTCACAGAGATAACTAAACAATGAGCATAAGTAGTACAGTTGTTTGGACAGTTGTCTGGCAGTGGGAAACTTTCATTCCAGTCCTTGCACACATCGTAGTAGTTATAGAGATACTTAGTGGAGTAGAAATCAAGAAGCCAAGTCTTTTCTGGAAAAGCAAATGCTATAAATGTTCCATACACAACGGAGAATGTGTCTAAACTCTAGTTACACTTGCTGTCTGGCCTTATGAATATATAATTCTTTCATATGTAGGAGAACTTCAGCAGCAGTGATTAAGTGTCCCCTCACCCTATAGTTGTAACTAACAGAGAGCATACTGCCTTCTCCCAGGAATGATGGGATAAAAAACAAGAGCAGAAACCAGGCCTCTACTTACACAGGCTTTCCAGCCAAGAAAGTTTTGCTGTTTCTTGATGAGATATAAAATTGAAAACATAATCACTTGTGTTGATTAAAGATCCAATAGGATTGTTAGTAAAAGTAGGAATAACAAGATAAATCTCATCCCTATTAGATCAGCTTCATTTTACTTTTTACTGTTGTGTCCTTATTTTGGCTGGGATAGAGTTAATTTTCTTTCTAGTAGCCGGTATAGTGTTATGTTTTGGATTTAGTATGAGAAGAATGTTGGCAACACACTGATGTTTTCAGCTGTTGCTGAGTAGTGTTTATACTAAGTTAAGGATTTTTCAGCTTCTCATGTCCAGCCAGCAAGAAGGCTGGAGGGGCACAAGAAGTTGGGAGGGGATGCAATCAGGGCAGCTGACCCAAACTGGCCAAAGGGATATTCCATACCACGTGATGTCATGCCCAGTATATAAACTGGGGGGAGTTGGCCCGGGGAGGATCGCTGCTTGGGAACTAACTGGGCATCCATCAGCAAGTGGTGAGCGATTGCATTGTGCATCACTTGTATATTCCAATCCTTTTCTTATTATTATAATTTTATTTTTGTTGTTATTATCATTATTAGTTTCTTCCTTTCTGCCCTATTAAACTGTTCTTATCTCAACTCACGAGTTTTACCTTTCTTTTTTTTTTCCCCCATTCTCTCCCCCATCCCACTGGGTGGGGGGGAAGTGAGTGAGTGGCTGCATGGTGCCTAGTTGCTGGCTGGGGTTAAACCGTGACATTTTGCCAACCTAAATATTTTTTCCTACAGTTTCACTAGGACACCTGTTTATACATTAAACTTGCATGCACTATTGTTTATGAGAGGACTGTATTTGAAATATTTTAATCGTACTATTATAAGCAAGTTTTTTCAATGTATAATTTAAAATGCTTTGTGAGTCAATGTCAATCATTGATTGTTCTGTTCATATAAACCAGCCTCTCAGAAAAAATTGCTTTGACAAAGCAAGTTTTTTATTCTAGATACACTGATGGGATAAATGGCACTCAATATATTAGTTGCCTGAATTTTGTTTTATGATGAGTAATGGGATATGTGTCTGTCTTAAAATTTCACAGGTCAAGAAGAAGCGTTGATGAAGTTGGTAAGGCACAGTTCTGCTTTTGAGGAAGCAGATCAGCAAGGCTGGCTTCCTGTGCATGAAGCTGCAGCACAGCTAAATAAGAACATCCTTGAAATAACTTTGAAAGGTACAGAGTCCTTCTGGTTTTCCATCAAAAAAGTTTTACAAAGTCGGGTTTGATGAATCATCCAGCTTCAAATGTGTTCTGCTTTTCTGTATTTCAGCCTCCCGTGCCATTACGTGGGAACAGACCACTCTAAAAGGGGAGACACCTCTCTTGGTGGCAGTAAGAAATTGCTTTGTAGACAATGTCCGCTTTCTCCTGCTCAATGGCTGCAATCCCAATGTTAAGAATGAAGAGGGAGATTCTCCTTTAGTTATAGGTGAATACCTCATTTAGGGGTGGAGAGGTGAGGGAATGAGATGAGATTATAGTTACACATTTTAGGTTTCAATTTGACATATTTGACTTCAAATCAATATCTAAAATATTTTGCTATAAGGAGCAAGAAATGTTAATCTCAGTATTGAATGTGTCTGTCCCCGTCCGTTTTTCTTAAACAAAATCAAGGCTTTAAATGACCTGACAATTCCAAGTTAGGGACTGTTACCACAAAGTTCTTAGCATTGTTTGTTAATTAAAGTATTATCCTTATTGGTCTACTGAAGTGTGGGAAACATAGAATTAGGAGGAGCTAAAAATCTTTCCCCAAAGTCTGATCCAATGCAGGGAGCTCCAGATGCCTGCCATTTTCTGTCCCTCAGTTGCAAAGAGTTTGAGGTTCAGGTTGAACATACATCTTTTTATTCAAAGAATCAAATCGCTTTCTCCACAAAGTGCAGAGTGTCATCCTCTGCTTTCCTTGGCATCATTTACGCAGTGGTGCCAGATAACCAGGTTCTCCTGCTTTTTCATGCTATTACTGTCTTTCATGTCTGCAGGCATAAAACATTCATATTCTCTGCTTACATGGTATCTCTTTCATTGCATCAGCTTCTCTTTCTCCAAAAACTAAGGTAATTGGTTTTGATTTTCAAAAATTATAGCAAACCAGCCTGATTTATCTGCATTACGTAGAGCATAAAACAGTGTTTGTCCCTATTCAGACATTGTTGGAATTAATCCAAGTATGAGAAGTGAAGAAGCTAGCCAGGCCTAAATTCTTGGTTCACTTCTCTTTGAATTTTTTTAACTGAAGAAGAAGGTCCCATACCTAGTATCATTCTTAATGTGAATGCCATTTTAATTTGATCATGTACGAGAACTGTAATTCTTGATTTGTAAGGAACCATATTTTTCCAAGATGCTTTTAAAAAATGTTCTGTGTTCATTTAATTTGCTTCCCTCAATTTGGGCTGTGATGCTATTATTCTTACTGAGTCCTAGCCAAAAAAAGGAAAGCGTGTTCTCATTATCTGAGTTCTAAAGGAGCACTGTAAGTTTCCTTACTGGACCCCGACTCCATCCTTTTGAAATGACTAAAGCTTCTAGTCAGGGCCACCTGCTTAGAAAAGATGTAGAGAATTCCTAAATACTTTTGAAGTGCAGTATATTAAAATGCACCATCCCCCAAGAAAGGGATGTATGGGATATATCTAAAGCAGCTGTGTAGGTTACAGATAATGGGATATCATGGGTTATAGTATGCTGTCAATGGTATTTCAAGCAGCTGTGGCACATGAAGCTTCTCTGCCTAATCTGTCTCACTGTTCTACCCTGCACAGCCTGGGAGATCAAAGAGAGAAGGAGGGAAAGGTGTTGCCTATTCATTCCATCCACTGGAGCCAATGCAAATTACTCTTTTAAGATCCTTACTGACTTAACAGATCGGGCTTATTAAGATATGAAGGCATATGACACAGTCATTTTAAACTTTGTTTCATATTATGGTAACTGTTTGTAAAGATCGAATAGAGCTGAGCAGGCCAGCTCCTGACTGCACCAAGTCCCTGTATAGGATCTCCATCTAGTGGCAAGGAAAGTTGCATTCTGTTGCATTACCAAACGCAACAGGGGATTACAGAGAGAAAAAGAGATTACCATAAAATTATTCATTTGAATAGTTAATGTTCTTCTGCAAACAAAGAACAGACTTGTTGATAAGTAAAACCTTTCAGTGTAGTGTGACATTTCTCGGTGTATAAATAGGACTGCCAGGAACAGCTCGAGCTTTCCTGGGCTGCCATGTAACAGAAGCCATAGTGCATAGAATAGTGTTGAAACATTCTGGCTGATACTTTGCTTATTGTCTTACAGCAATTAAACATGACTCGTATGAGATTGCCTCCTTGTTGATAAGTTCTGGTGCAAAAGTGAATTTGCAGTGTGTCCACAAGAGGACTGCTTTACATGAGGCAGCCAGACTAGGCAGGAAGGATCTGGTGAAGCTGCTTCTTCGTTCTGGGGCAGATCCTGACCCTCGCAGTGGATATGGGCTTACACCTCTAGCACTGGCTGCACAGATTGGACATACAGAAATTATGGAGCTCTTATTGCAAAAAGGTGAGACTTTATTACATAGGATGTTACAGGAAGGGAACACTCAGGGTGGGGGTCTATCTTGCCAGTGTTATAAGTATCTGATGGGATGGTGTAAAGAGGACAGAGCCAGATTCTTCTCAGTGGTGCCCAATAACAGGACAAGAGGCAATGGGCACCAATTAAAACCTAGCAAATTCTGTCTGAACATAAGAAAACACTTTTTTCTGTGAGGGTGGTTGAACATTGGAACAAGTCACTCAGGTTGTGGAGTCTCTATCCTTGGAGGTACCGTAAACCTGACTGGACACTGTCCTGGGCAACCTGCTGTAGCTGACCCTGCTTGAGCACAGGCTTGGACTGGATGATCTCCAGAGGTCCTTTCCGACCTCAGCTATTCCGTGGTTCTGTTTTACAACTCAGTAGATTGATTTAGTAACATCTTGGTTCTGTGGTAGTAGTCTTCAAGTGAGTAGAAATTGTAAGCCATGTGTGTTAGTACTGAAATGTTTAAAGCTCAAATGGGAGAAAGTGTCCAACAGAGAAAATTATTCCTAAATGCAGAGGCAAAAAATTGTTCTTAGCTCAGTAGCCAGTAAAACTTCGCATAACTGAAGTGAAAGAAAATGGACTGTTATCATGCTACTGAGTATACAGCCTGTATTGTTAATAGATCCAAACATATGCAAAATATATTTTTAAAGATTACTTACTTGTAGCAAACTGTAGTAGTAGTCATCAGTAAATGCTTTGCAAAACTGCAAGCAAATCTGACACACTGCAGCAGATATTTTGTTTGCATTTTTGGATGGCATCTCAATATATTTGAAGAATTTGACTCCCAAATCACGTGAGTTGAGGTCCATCTAAAGAATTCCTAGCATCTTAAATTTCATGTTATAAGATATGTATATATGTGTGTATATATATATATATATATGCACACACACACATATATTCCCTCTAAAGTAGTTAGCCTATTTACACACATTTTTATTAGTCTTCTGAGAGTTCTGTGATTGGATGAAAACTGGTTATTGTAAAATACACCTTCGGAAATAGCAGCAGAAGTAATTTCCCTTACTAAAGAAAATTAAATGCTATCTGCTCCAGGAGGATTGTTGTGATGTAGTTAAGTAAAGGCCTGATAAAGACTACATTTTCATAATATTCAAATAATATTTTAGTGAGCAGTTGCAATTGTTTTTAAATGCAATATTGTTTTCTCATGTAGACAGGTCACCTTAGGGAAGGCCAGATGACATTTGTGGTGGGGAATTTTGTATGATGGCTCAGCAGTGCTGGAACCGGATTGTATGAACTGTTTTGATACTGGCTTCTCTCATATTTAGTTATACTTGTCTTTGTAAAGTAGAAGAATTGAAATGCATTGTATGTAAGCCAAAAAACAATTGTTTGTATAAATAAGAACCAAACCCCTTCTTTGCCCACTCCTAGCAGCAAGTCTTACTATGTGTTCAAAGCAGTTTGGACCTTCTTGTTCCCAGGATTACATAAACACATCTAAAATTGAGGATCCAACATGAAGGTTTATGCCCACAGTGGTTTTATTTGCTTAAGAATAGAATTCACAATACTGTATCACTGGAGGGTTGGAGATATTAATTATTGCTGGATATTTACAGTGACAACTGTGAAAATCCTTGATGCTTCTTTCCAGGTGCGAATGTTCTTTCACAGGCAATGGATTGTGCTTCTGTTTTATTTGAAGCAGCAGGAGGAGGAAATCCAGATTCTCTGAGTCTTTTACTAGAATATGGGGCTGATGCCAATGTACCAAAGCACTCGGGTCATTTGCCAATCCACAGAGCTGCATATAGAGGACACTTTCTGTGAGTTAATATACCTAAAAATCAAGTAATGGTGACATGAGAAATATTAACTTTGTTAATTCTACGTTATTCAAAGCAGGCAGCAAATCTGTAGTTTTGTAGAAGGGACTCTTTTTGACTATGTAAATATGAGTTTTCTGTGTCTAAATGTAAGAGACTGGTCAGGCTAAAATCATCATCATTTTAGGATGAACATACTAATTCCTACAGTATTTCCCCACTTGCCACAAATAGTAACACTGTCCAGTCTGATGTTGAGGTTCTTGGGACGTCCTCACTCTCTTTGGGTATGCCTCATCTCCACCCCATCACAGGAAGTTAAATGTACTAAATGAACAAATAGACTTAGGGGATAAGGTTATCCCTATTTTAAAGACAGGAAGGTTACTGGAAGATAGTTATGCTAAAATCACAACCAGTAAGTGAGAAACAAGTCTTCAATACTAGGAATGTTGCATTGTGGTTAAGAATCTGAGGATTCTTAATTCCTATGTTAGTATTTTATATTTATGTTTAAACCTAAATGTATCATATATATTAAATTACATATGTATTCATGTTATATATTCTATTCTATTAAATTCCCTAATATCTATAGGTTAAGCAATAATACTGTGCTCTCGACATTCAGGAAAAGCTTCTATTGAGAAGGAATCATTATTTCGCTAGCAGGGAATGGGGTTGTTCCTGAATAATAGTATAATATAATAATATTTTATGCATAGTAGGTGTGAAGTCAGTATCCATTGCTGGCTAACAATTTAATCATTAGCAATTAAAGTCAATGCAGTGGTATAGCATGCCATGGTACTGATTTGGTAGACTAAGACAATTGTATACAGTCATGATGAATTCTGAAGCTCAGCAACACAGAGAAATTCAAACACTGAGCTAGGTGAACCGGTATGTTTAAGATTCTGAGATTCTTCTTTTTTTAATTCTTTAGAGCCCTAAAATATTTAGTTCCAGTTACTAACTTTGATGCCATTAAAGAAAGCGGGATAAGTCCAGTTCACTCAGCAGCAGCAGGAGCACATCCTCAGTGCCTTGAGTTTCTCCTCAAATCTGGGTTTGATGCCAATTTTATGCTGGATCAAAGAGTTCGCAAAGGCTACGATGACCACCGGAAATCAGCGTTGTACTTTGCTGTTTCCAACGGGGATATCTGTTCAGCACAGTTGCTGTTGAATGCTGGAGCCCTGCCAAACCAAGATCCCATCAACTGTCTCCAAATAGCCTTGAGAATGGGCAACTATGAGTTAATGAATCTACTGCTCCGACATGGGGCTAATGTCAATTACTTCTGCAGAGTGAATACAACACATTTTCCGTCAGCTCTACAGTATGCTCTGAAAGATGAAGTCATGTTAAGAATGCTGATGAACTATGGGTATGATGTGCACCGCTGCTTTGATTGCCCTCAGGGAAACAGTTCGCATTCCCAGTATGTGACTGATGGATGGACTTCTACTGTTATCAAAGATACAATGGTAAGTATATAAGATGGCTTCATATGTTGTTTTACTACCAGTATCCTTCCTAAAGCTAAATGAAAATGTACTTAATGCAGTGTCAGAAAAGTAAGTTTTGAAAATGTAGGACAGTTTACACCTAAAGGTAGGAATAGACAAAATTAAATTGATGTTGTCAGGAGGCCTGGTTCATGACAGCAAATGATCATAAACAATATTTTTGAATCATGAAAATATAGCTAATGATATGCTAATGATCAGTACAGAATTGGCTCTCCAGGGCAGTCTTGTCCATGCTGTGAAAGCAGGGACTTGGAGGTTGGCTCGCTGGGTTGTCTTGTACAGTACATAACACTAGTACTGGAAGGCTGTTGCAAGGACCCCCTGGAGCTGGCACAATAAGCACTGAGCAGAAATTAACAAACCTGGACCAGTCTAAAGAGGATCCTAGAGACACCCATCAGCATCATTGTTTTGTAGTCTGCAAAGCCCACTTGAACCTAATAAACCCATCTTTAACCTGAAGATAAGGGGGTGTGGCATGCACTGGACTGGTGGGTCCTGTCACCAGCACATGGGGACACAAGTCTAGATTCCACTTAGTGAGTGGTAGCACTTCTTTTTAAGCACTTAGTTACTAAATATCCAGCTACTTAAGTTCACTTTTAGATCTAGTACAAAATAACCATCTCTCATATTTTCAGATTCTACTAGTGAGGCTTAATGCAAGCTGTGACAACCTCTAAAGCCCCCCTTACTGACAGAACACTCATTCTTTCTAGCGTTCTGCTGTAGTTATTTAATTGCTCTTGTCTTGCAAAGGTGGAAGTAATTTACAGGAGTATTGAATATCATCCTATTAAACATTTTGTTTCTATCAGTTCTGTGAAGTGATAACCTTGTCATGGTTGAAGCATCTGTCTGGGAAAGTAGTGCGAGTAATGTTAGATTATGTTGATCACGTCAATATCTGCTGGAAGCTAGAAGCAGTTCTCAAAGAACAGGAACTCTGGCCAGATATCAATTTGATTTTAAGTAAGTATCTGGTATTCAAATTTGAAATGACAAACAAGCTGTTTTGGGATTGGGGCCTTTTTTGTTGGTAGTATTTTAGTTTTCATTTTCTTTACATCACACTGGTGCTTTTCTTGACCCTTGTTAGGCCAAAAGTTATGTTTTGACAGTAAGAGACCTCTTAAAAATCAATCTATGCAGGGTTTCAACTAAGTTTCTTTCAGAAGTCTGACACACAGTAACTGCATAATTTATGTAGAGCACTTGGAACTTTAATTACAACGTAGACAACACAGTCCTCTTCAAGGGGAGAAAAGCTTTTCCCCCTGCCTCAAGTTGATGGAACAAATCTAATCAATCACTATTTTTGAGTGATTTAATTCTAGTCTAGATTAATTCTATGTCCTTTTTGCTTGTACACAGATTAAGAAGTAGTGACTCAAAATTCTACTTTTAGTAGCTTCTTTAGGTTGACCAAAGACTGGCACCAGTTATTTAGGAATAAAGTATATTCCCCAAACTTCACTACTTAAACTTGCATTAACCTATATTTAGCCAACTTGACAGAAACAAAATCTGTTGATTTAGCTGGCAATGATTGTAAATATATAACTGAGAGGTGTATGGGCTAAGATAAAAAGGCTAGAAGATCCAGACAGGTCCGGTTGTCCAGGGACAGTCACATTCATTTTATTTGACTATTTATAGAATGAATATGCAGCAAAATTGGGAACAAAGCTTTTGAAAGGTAGCAGAGTACTGAATAAATAACCTGAACAAAATTTAATAACTAACTTACTAATACAGTCTCACCTTCTCATTTCTAGCAAATCCTCGCTCTCTGAAGCATCTTTGTCGTCTGAAGATACGGGAATGCATGGGCCGGTTGCGTCTCCGTTGTCCAGTCTTCATGACCTTCCTTCCACTGCCAAACTGCTTGAAGGATTACATACTGTACAAGGAGTATGATCTTTATGGACAGGAAAACTTCACAGGAATCTACAACCTCAACTGTACATAATTAGTAGTTCTCTATGTTGAAGGGAATGTTGACATGGATAAGACTGTTGTGCAGCTGCTTTTTTCTTTTGGGATTTTATCTCGTATGTATTAAGGAATACCAGCATTTCCCCCTCACCCCTCAAGAAAACTGGGAGAACCCCAAAATGTAAGTATTGGTGATCCCATTCTACATATCTACTGGAATATAAACTATCTGAAAGTTATGACAATAGTCTTTTAAATGCTTAGTGTGAACAGTTAAGAACTGTAAAATGTAGGTCTGCAAACCTGGTGTTATTGCTAAGTTAAAGCTTGTCATAACTGATAACGCTACCCCCCACTGCAGGGTTAAACTCAGGGTTTAGTGAAAGGTCAGGGATTTAACTAAAACTGGGAAGGGACATACTTCTTTTTTGTCTTGTACTTCCCTTTCTCTTGCCAAGAAGTAGTTTTTATTTGTAAAGTCCTACAGTGAAGTTCTGAAGAGCAGCTTAAGTAGATTTATTTTTTTCACCCAATTAAGCAATCCCACATTCTAAGCAGTGAAATGGGATTAGCAGCTATAGAAACCTCTGCTTAGCACAGCAGCTAGTGTGAAATACCGATGTTTCAACAAGGCGGCACTATTTCTGAAAGACATGTTAGTTCTGCATCTCATTCTCAGGTACTGGTATGTCTCATTCACCACATACTTTGATTGCTCACTCTAGAACTAGGTTTTCCTTTCACAGTGCTGTCCAAAGGCATGCTTGCAATTTTTGAATAGTTGGAGCTTAAGCTTTTGGAGCACTATCTGTCAGCAGTCACAGTTGTCTTTCTTAGAAGTCTTACATAGTACACAGACCCACAGCATGCCTGTTCTTTCTAAAAATACTGCAGATGTCAGTCCATATTTTAGAACAAAAAAAGTTCATCAACACACTTGACATTAGTAGTATTTATTCCTTCATTATCAAGTAAGCATAGATTTATTTTTTTTTCTAGTTATACATGCATCTTTATCATGGAAGTTACATAATTCAAAAGTCTGCTTTTCCCCAGAAAAATCTACAAACCTTATAAAATACAAATTTAACCATAATGTAGTTATGACCCATTGCTTTTTACATGGTGTTTATCATATAATAAACTAATGAAGCCCGTGAAGATGTGTATCGGTACCCACGTTAATGGTTGTGCTGGTATAGCCTCTGTACATGTGAATTCTGATCACTATCGCAACCACAGCTCTGCATAGTGCTACACATTGTCATGTGGCTACAACAACGTGTGCACTATAAAAAGCCAGCTACAATGGTAAGGATTTTCTTCTTCTAATGTTCAGTCTTTGATTGTTGCAAAAATAAGATATCAGCGTTCCCAAGTACAATAACTTCCTCTGAGGTTATCTAGCCAATACAATTAAAATTAAGAAAATTGAGATACACTTCAACAACAGAGGGATAGCTGAATGTTAAAACTTTGTTTAATGGAAGGGAACGCATCCTGTCAGCAATAATGGTACTTCCTGGAAGTCAGTATTATGAAAAATGCAGGAGGTTTTTGCAACAGTACAAATCCCACCCAGAAAGTTACTAGAACTTAGCTTTTATTTAATCTACAAAATGCTGACTGGCATAATATGTTTACTATCCATGTTTTCCAAGATTAAGACACGACAATCAACATTGACGTAAGTATGCCATTGGAGGTTTTTAATACAGCTATTCAGGGAAAATGTGTAAGTCAGTCTCAAATGTTGCAAAAATCACTTACACTTCACTAGAACCGGACCAATCCAGAATAGCATTGTAAGAATTTGACCACTTCACTCTATTATAAAAATGACCTGAAAGATTGTACAAAATCCTTGGCTTGCAATATAAACTTCATTAGGAATACAAGTGCATTCAAAATGACACACCGACTTACTCTTGTCATGACAACCTGGATACCACTGTGGCAGGAAAAAAAACCACAACTCAACTTACTGCTTGATTAAAAAAGAAAAGCCTTGGAGGCTAATTGACTTGCAAGAAATTTTGTAAAATAGAGCAACAGAAAGAATATAAAATATTAGCTCTTGCTATTAGACTCTACTAAATTCACTAAGCAGAGGCAGGTCGTATTTCTCTACGTGAATTATTTCCGAAATAACAAGAGACTATATCATAACATAGTTTTCTCCATTGGCTTCTCCTAAATTCTGTGCAACTAGTTCATCAGAATTTACCTTAAACATGCGCATAGTCAAATTTGCTTCTTTATATCAACATACATAAATTATATCTTCATAAATAGCTTCAGCTGTTTCAGGATTTTCAGCTCTGGGTTTACATCCATATAAAGATGAAATCTGACAGCACTGTAGAGGGGGAATGCTCCTTAACTCTTAAATATTACTTTACTGATAGATAGTAAGTTGTCTTGATACAATTTCAAACCTAAACAGATTAAGGAAGTAATAGACTACCAAATGCAGATTAGTTTACACTACCTGCTCGTAACCAGTTATATATGGCTAAGTTGTATATGACTCTTAACTTGTCCTCTGATTTAAACTTGGAGAAATCTATTAGTGGCCATAGAGGAGTGCTAGGTATTACCTATAATGCAATAAAATGCATACCCATAAGCACACTTTATATATTTTGATATTCATGCCATTACATACATAAAGAAGACTTGCTTGGTCTGCAGTGTGTAAATCTACATAGTGTAACAAACTTAATATCCCCTTACCTAAGGGAAAAAAATGTGGCAGTAACTGAGGCTGCAATCAACAACATAAAAAGTTAGTCCTAAACAACACTGCTGATTCAGTACCTATGCAAAGTCACTTTAAAATCATGTACTTGAAAGAATATTTTCAGGAGTGTCTGAAATAATAGTAGATGCACATGAAGCAAACTACAGCTTCAGCTGGAAGTGCTTGAAAGATCAATCTGTAAGTAAAAGGCAACAGGAAGTATTAAACAGGAGAAATAAATTACAGGAGAGGAAACCAACCAGTAATTTACTTACAATAATAAAATGCTCAGGTGGTGAAATCCTACCGCAGTTTTTCCCAGGAGAACATGAGCTGTTTATATTAGAAGTCATACTCTCTAGGAAAATACTAAGCACTCTAATACTTTTTAATGAACAAAAATATTTTCCGATGAAGTAGTTCTAAACCTCACAGGAAAAAAGGTACCAAATAGCTTTTTATTTTGGGGAGGAGGGCATGGATAAAACCTCAGCAGCTGTTTTCTGCCTTGAGGTAGTTCTAATTACAAAGCCATGTGCTCCTCCCCTTAAGCAAAACTCAGTAATTCTCACCCCACTGCTACTACACTGCACCATTACCATTTAACTTCCTCATCTCTTCTGACCTGCCATTTGCTCTTGCAGCTTTCATCACTCTCCCAAATGCTTTTATATCTTTTTGCCCACTTTACACCAGTGAAAATCTCCTAAATAAGCACACACCCCCTTTTCATTCATGCACATCAATCTGTTTTCTTTTAACCGCTCTCTTCAGTCATTTCCCCCTTTTTTAAGGGTTAAGATGAGAATCATCCAACACAAATGAAATGCACTTCGCTCCTATGCTGTCTGTTCTATAAAAACTACATGTAATGACATAGATGGAAAGCCTGAAAATCAAATGGAATAATTCCAATCACATATTCCTAAATCTAAAAAATCCTGTATGACAGTAAATTCATCTGCCAACTTTATTCTCCTGCTTTCGTCCTCATCTTTGCAGATTTATGTCTAAAACAGTAATGGTAGGTTTCAAGAAAAAAATACAGTAATTCAATTTTCTGACATTTCTTCAGTAAGGCTAATGCAAAACAGGCTACACATGAGAAATGCTTTTTGATGAGATTGCTAATCTATTATCTGTTTTCCATATGGAGCTAGGGCTATTGCAGCTAAACTGGTTAACATGTTAATCAGTCCTACTCTGACAAGCTGGGGGACTAGATTCTAGAAACTGGAGACCGCTGATTTCAAAACTACTTCGTATTCAGCATGTACTTGAGGAAGATACAGTAAGACACAGTAACCTGGAGCTATGCTGTCATATTATTTGATAGAAAACAGAAATATCAGTAAGTAAAAAAAAAACCCAACCCCGAAAAAATGAAAGAGAAAGAAACATGAACTGGAACGATTTGCAGAAACAAACTGACTGCCATGCACTATCTGTATGCCTAGATTTAGGCACAAAAAGGGAAAAAATTGGATTTGCTGCCTCTGTCCGTCCATTTTTGTTGTCAAGAATAAAAACAGCCTCTTGAGAGCTGAGAATAGAAGACTGTATATGAAATAAAAATGCCACTCCTCTTTAGAAAAAAGCCTCGGATTTGTGTGGTCCACCTGACAGTGTGCTAGCCAAATCTGGCCACAGGGCAATGCCATTTGGCCTGACTGGGCAACAGCAAAAGCAGGTATTTCTGCAAGTGACTGGCTGGCTACTCTGGGGATGAATATGTACTGGAACAGGAGTTGCTAACTAAATCAGGAAGAGAACCTGGAGGGTCTCTGCTGCTCCGCCTCCCCCTCCACCTCCTCTTTTAAGGCAGGGGTAAAGTGACCCCTTCCGAGGCTGCTCAAGCCCTTCCCTAGGCTGTGGTGCCAGTAACATCTGCTCCAAGAGCTGCTCTAGCTCCTGCTGCCGTAGCGGCCCCAGTGCAGCGGACTCTGTTAGTCCTGCCCAGGCGCTGCAAGGGCAGGCGCTGCTCCCCCTTCTCTCCTGTGACAGGAGCCAGATGCAGTGAACTTCTGCATGGAAATTTGCATCTCTGGCATAAAGGGCAGGAGGAGAGTGCCGCCTTTAGGCAACACCAGGCCACTCCAGTGCATGAGGAGAGCTAAGGATACTGATGCCTCCATGCACCTACAGCCATCTACCAGAGAGGTCCTGAGATTCCTCACTTACTTCATCAGCACTGAGCAACTCCAGCTATGAAGGTCTGGGCCATCATCAGCTGACAGGGAGATACTCTGGAAATTGCTTCCATTCCTGAACACTGGAAATGCCCTGCAATGAACTCTAAAACACTCATAACTGTTACACTATATCTTGGAGTATAATTATATTCTTCTCTTTCTACATTTCCTGTTACTTTCATGCCACTATTAGAGAGTTCTGTTCCACTGGATTTTAGTATTTATAGTAATTAGTGCAAAAATAAATATTTATCTTCAAACAAGTTTTCTCTTCTGGATCAAAAGGTGAATGCATATTTAGTACTATACAAAATAAATATTACACAGTGTATGGAACACGGAGTTTAGATTACAAGCTGTAAACAGACACTGCTTTGAAAAATGCTTTATGGGATTGACTGTAGGATGTAGATTAGCATAGTCTTTTACTTCAGAGCTAGTAAATTCTGTTTGCAAAATCAATTTCCATAAAGAGACTTAAAGAGCCTCAACTCGTTTTCAGTAAATGTAGTGTACTGGTGGCAAGGCATTTACATATTCAGAAGATTTTTCAAATTATAGACTTCAAGATGTTCCTGCAACTCTAAGCATGTTTTATAAGTGAACTCAAAGGCTTACAGCTTTTAATTGTATGTACTGGGGAAAAAACAAGAACATGGCACTTGTGCTACAAGAATATATACATTATTATCATTTGATAAGGAATGCTTTATACATTCCTCAGCAAAGTGCAACTGCATCTCATCAGCTCTTACCTAGATCTCAACAGGAGAAAAAAAATACTGTCAAAGAAGTCTTTCAGCATTATATTCACCAAAAAAATCAAGACAGTATCATACAGTGCAATATGAAATAAAAAGCAAGATCTTTCTGTCTAGAACTATTGCACATCTCACTGATGTTAATAAGGATTTTTCTTTCTAAATCTAAGAACAGTTATGTGCAACAAATTAGATAAAGCTTAGCACTGTCTTATTTGGACATCCACTTTTGTTTCCAGCAAGGTGTTCTCCATACTGCAGTGTAAAGAAAAAATTTCAGTGTACTGCTGAAGTCCAATGAGAGTTTAAGTTTTGCTTCAAGAGCAGTCAATTGCATGGAGAGGTAAGTGGGGAAAAAAAAACCCCACAGTTTTTTCCATACTGCAGAGAAGCCTTGAGAAAACATAATTTTGTAATAAACATGGTAGCATCACCATGCTTCATCTGGCGTACAGAAGAGAAATTATACTGACATGAAAATGGAAATCACTTACTTACTTACTTAACTGAGAAAGAAAAACCAAGGCATAACAGGGTCTACATATTGTGAAGTATTTTTATATAATACAACAGACCCTCCACCTACATTTCACTTCTTGTAGAACTTGTGCCATTTCACCAGATATACCCATGATTCCAATTTTAATAAAGTAGGCAACCTTAGGCTTCAGATTCTCTCTTCTTCTTTCCATCTTCTCCTAAATCACTGTCTTCCGACTGACTACTGCTAAGCACTACAAATTGTCCTTCTCCGCTGCTCTGGTTCGATCTGCTGGAAGCAGCTATCAACCGGCTTTGCTCCTCTAAGTCCTAATTTGAGAAGGAGGGGGATCAGAAAAAGAGTGTTAACTTTAAAGCCATCTACAATTGAAACAGGATACCATTTTTGTGATTTCTAAACTATCTTTTAATACTATCAATGGACAGCTTTCTGTACAGAGGGAATTAAAAGACTGAATAGGAAACCAAAACCTGTACATTTCATTAGTTGACATTATTCGAACAGCTAACACATTAATGCATCTGTACCTATAGCCCACAAAATGCAGCCGGTCAGAACAAGTATCTTTGTCTACAGCCCCTTCCTCACTGTGTAACTGAACCCTCGTCAGCAAATGAAATTATTTTGGGCCTGTGAAAGGTGTTCCTTCAAGCACTGCTCTTAAATATTCCTATAAAGACATTTTGTGGTTTATCTCCTCAGAAGAGCTCTTTTAAAAAACTACTATAGAAAATTATACAAAATCTGCACAGGAAATAGTCCTATTAATTAACTCCATAATGTTTTATGAACTTGTACTAAAGAATATGATAGTGGAGCTTGGAGTACAAAACTGCAAAAGAAAGTAAGTAGAAAAAAAATATTAGGAAATAATGATGAAATGTACCTTTTCAATTTGTTTTTGTTTATTCAGTTCTTTTTGTTGTTTCTCTTTGACTCTATCTATTTCTTTCTGCTTTTCTGATGCTTTTCGATCCTAAAGGGCAAAAATGTAAATAAAGTAAGTAACAACAGCCTGAGATGTTTGATACACTACTGATTTATAGGAGTTTGCTCAAAACTTGTTATACCACGGTTTTGATTATTCTTCTTCTAAAGGACTGGTATGTTTGTTAAAGGTAGCAAGCTGAATCCTATCATCTTGAATATTGTTCCACAGTAGACATTGGTCAGTCTTTTTATCTTGGGTTTAAATTCTAGAAAACAAATCCCTTCCTTAAAATACACCACAACAGCATTACTGCATCTGTAAGCATCTTGTAGAATACATTCTATTGCACATATTAAATACACTCTCTCCCTTCCATTCACAAGTATCCCTTGCCCCCAAAAGATTCTTACCAGTTCTGCATGAAAAGCTATCTGTTTTGCCAGTCCAACAGAGTCACAAATCTAAACACAAAACAGATTGGAAATAATCAAAAAGCTCTAATAAAAATGCCTTTAAAATTAAGCCAGATTCCCAAATTAGATATAATAGCATATTAAAGCACTTGCAGGTACTTAAGACTGTCAGGTTTAACTGGTTTTTGGTACATAAACAAAATACTCTTCCACAGAAATCCCTTAGACAGCTTGAATGGATCTAATGTCTTAGAATCCACATCAGGCTCAAAACTCATACAAGTATAACCATCACCAATACCTTTTCCCCTTCATTATTTGATTCAAATATATAGCAGACGGAAGTTTGGCGGCTCTCAACTCTCCCTCCTGAAGTTCTAAGCACAAATCCAAAAAGGCGCTTATTCTCCTGGTGCGTAGCATACAAGACTACATTGGGCAAAGGAAACTGCCAAAAGGATCAGATACGGAGATATTAAAACTGGTTCCAAATATTTTCTATATGAAGTTTCAATATACTGCACATTAATTACTTCAATATCATAAATGCACAAGCACATCAGAAGTTAACAACCTGACCAAACATGTAAATACGCAACACAAACAGTAGGTCAGAAGGCAAGGACTAAATTATTCAAAAGATAGGAAAACTTCTAAAAAACACATTCCATGTAAGAAAAGGGGACAACATTTGCAATGCAATGCAGTCATCTTTCTAAATGTGAATATACTCCTTTTCTTTTTTATTTTAAGAGACATAATTCATACAAATTACATTTGTGACTAAGATTTCAATATTTGGTGCCAGGTGAAGGCACTACTCCAAAGCCTTTACTACAATGAGTTCAGCTCTCCTGAATTATCTAAGCAAGAAAAAAAAAAAAGAAAAAACCCAACCCCAAATGAACAAACTGCATATCCTCATTATTTTGTTACAATAAAACTATTTTGCATTCTTATTCCTAAAAGAGGGTGGACTTAGAAATTTCAAATGTATCTTTTTAAATGTAAGTTTTTAAATTCTGAAAGCCCCTATAACAAGCTGTTATAATCTGATAGGATGAGTTTTTCCTAACCTGAAGTGTACACATTTAGAATACAGGACATGCGCTCAGTTGATATATCTCACCTGTAAAAGCTTACAGCTTTGCGGCAGGTTTGAACTTAATGCCACAAAGGTAAAGAAAAAAAGCTCTACTTGAAATATCAAGATATTTTCACATGCTTAGGATTTCCTTTTAAGGAAATGAAAGTAATTCGGAGTTCCCAAAAAACTGGATGTTTTTAAAAGAAGACCCAAAGAAATTAAATGACAGACCATAAATTGTGCATAAAGAAAAAGAGGGGGAGGGAGGAACAGTTTTGAAATACGAAAAATAAAGACTGCTATTACTGAAAAATTAAGATGGCCTTATTTGATATCCTACGAAGAATTCCACTTATTTCTTTCAAGTGCATTTTTTATAAAGAATTAGGAAAAAACACCCAAACCCAGAAACTGTGCAACACACTCAATGCAATTGTACATTAAAAACCAATTATGCATTAAAAAACAAAAAACAAAACAAAACAAAAACACCCCAAACACCAAGCAAACCCTTTTGGACTTCAGAACTAATTAGACTCCAACCTTATTGTTACCTCTCTACTAACAATATAAATGTTTATAATTCAACACATTGTTAAAATAAAATATTCTGTTTTCCTAAGATTTTACCCTGTCAAATCAGGGGAGAGAAAGTTTCAAAAGCCTCTTTGACCTACTGAAATCACTTCCCTTAAATCTGATTTGCTAGTGTTTTTCTGTCTATTTTTAAATGTATGCATTAGTCTCCTAATATCAGTGGAAATTTTTCTGGAAATCTCATGCTGTCAGTGATTTTTGCTAACATCTAGTAGTATTAAAGTAGAAGAATTACATTGTTGGGTATTTATCTTAAAATGTAAAGTTACTTACTCGTAGTCTTGTAACTTGTGTCTGTGGATCAATTAACCTAAAAATTTGTTTTTAAAAACAAACCAGAAAGTAAATTTTACCAAAGTGAAAGAAGATCATTCTGTAAATAAACATCAGTACAAGTCAGGAAGCAAACTTACTTTAAACAGTCACAAGTCACTACTAAATGTGATTCTGTCATCCTGAAAACGTTATGGATGGCACGAGCTGCTAGTATTTGACGCATCGTTTCATAAACAACATCTGGACTTTCATCAGACTTCACCTCCATAGAGCCAAGAAATCTTACAATAAATAACTGATGAAGAATTGAATCTAAGACAAAGAAAAGTATTGAAAAAAGTGAACTCCCTTTGGGTCTTCCATTCAAAACCAAAGATGGACTGCAGTCAGGAAAACTCCAAACTTCTACTAGCTTGGAAAGAGATTGCTCACACTTAGGAATTAGAGGTACAATTACTAAACAGCAAGTCACACATCTTTTCATTTGGTTTAATGCATACAAAAGATGCAATGAATTATTTTTAAAACAGACTTTCAGACAGTAGGCTGATTTAACTCAACTTGTCTAATACATTGCTAATATAACTAAGCATTCTAAAACAGGTGTTAAATTAGGAGAAGCTACAGATGAAAATACAAAAATAATTTTCAAATGATATTTTTTATTTTGCATTGAAATAAAATTTTTGTTTTACCTTCTGTTTCAGATTTTGAGCCTCCAGATTCACCGAAAGGATTTGTGCGTCTATTAAAAAATGAAAACATTAAACCAGGAGTCAGATTACAAGAACCACTAATGAATAATGTAGTAGTCTCATGCTGCATCAAATAAGAACATGTAATGATTTCACAGATGTGCAATCTGGAGGAATAATGTATGATAAATCGTAAGGATAAGCAATTTAATCAGGACATAAATAGACATAAGTTGCTATATTCGAGGGCTCAAATTATGGGAAAAATACCGGATATTATTGTCCTATTGCTGCCATAGAGAGTTTTGCTCACATGGGGGTTTTTTATATCTGAATTAAGCCCAAGTCAAAACCTTGTTAATATTTGAAAAGGTACAGTTTCAGGGGATGAAATTTCACAGAACAGCTTCAGGAAGTACAACCAAAAGCTAGTTCTTTCAGAACTCCATAGGAGCACCACACTTCTCATAACTGTCTCAAGTTGTTGAATTACTTACTGAAGAGAAGTCACTGGTTTTGTTTCAAATGCAGCTTTCTGAAAACATCATGGGAGTTTTACTCCTAGAGGGTCAAGAGAAATGTGGCTATTTCTGGCTCTCAAAGACAGAATTGCTATCGGTTACAATGAAAAGTGAAAATACTCTAGGCTTCCAAGTCTACATTTTTCAAAAGCAGTAAAGCAATGCTGAAAAGAGTATGGGAAATGGGGAAATTTTATTTAAAACTTCTGAAGAGGAAAAAACCCTTTCTTCTTTGGTTAACTGGTAGCTGAAAAACAGTTGTCAAGGGTTCAATAACTTCAAATTAGGTTTTATAGGGGAGTAATGAAGGTGTCACCTTTCATTAGCTAGTGTTCTAAAAGTAAATTTCAGAACCAAGAGAAAAAAATGTCAGTCTCTTGTTCAGTTACATGTCATACCAACTGCCAGTTTTATCAGTGAAATCTTATTAACTGAGCAATGTCTAGTTTAAAGTAATAAAATTGTTCTAGATTGAACTCTGAAGTCAAGATGGCATTGCTACAATGTTTATATAACATGGACTCAATGAAGAATCATCCCATTAAATGTTGACCTGTGTAAATAAATACTAAAGGGAAATTCTTTTTATTAGCATCTTTTATTGCTCAGACTTTTATTGTCATTTGAGATTAGACTGGAACAGTAAATGCAAAATCTCACAGAATCTCTCAAAAGGCAAAAGTAAAATTTAAATATATGTCATCAGCATCAGAAACTAAGTCTTTTTTTTTTTTTTATTAATTAATACTTCTAAAGTTGCATGTTGCCTATCTGTACAAACACTGTGGTTCTTTATTGAAAGTGATGGTTAATTGAAATACTGAACACAACTCTATATAATTTCTACTATGAAAAATATGACTTTCTAGAATGGAATTATAACTGATGACATGAATTTAGCTGAAGTATTAACCTTTCCACTTCCTGGAATACAGCTCAAGTCTACTTTAAATCAATGTATTCTTAAGGATCTAGCTAGTCAACTGATTATCCTGCTATACCAAACAACAAAAAGAAAACTGCCAAAAAAAAGAAAAAAAAGAGTTGAATATATGTAATTTTAAATCTTATGTATCTGTGAGGTGCAACTGAAAATTCAAGTATTTTTCTAGAGGGCAGGGGGATACAACACATTATTGTGACTAGAGTCACATAAATTAGTTGTCAGCTTTTTAGCTTGCTTTGTTGTTGTTAAGAGCAGCTGGATCTGCAAATATATTTTCTTAATGTCTGAATTCTGTACATATAGTTCCAGAAATGCAGTGCAGATTTACAGGTTTCTATTATTATTTTTGAGTGGGAAGTTTACAAAAAAACAAGTAGGAGAAAAAGTTTTTATATTTTGGGAAAAGTCTAAAGCTTTAGACAATTTTAACTTGTCTGTATTCTAGATTACTCTAGAAGCCTAGATCATTTTCACTCACCTTTCAGGTTAAGAAGAATGTCATCGTATGCCATCATCACCTGGAGGCAGGGCTACCAAATTTCTCTTGAGTTTCCAAGAGGAAATAACCCAAGCTGCTGGGTGAGCAAGCAATAGGAAAGGAAAATACTTTGTAAAACCAAAAGATTAAAATAAATCAATAAATAAAAGCATTAGCTGTTAAAGCAAGAAAAGCTACTGCTAAATAGAAAACTACACCTTGAATCTAGTGCATGTAATTAAGCCAATGTTTTACAAATTGAAATTTAACAATTTAAAAAATTGTTTTGCTTCGCTGGCCACGGCAAATTTTGTGACATGAGTCAGGGTAAAGGCAATGTGTGTTTTGGAGCTGCAGCCTAAACATGGTTTTCTTGTTTGTTAGTTAGTTAGTTAGTTTGTTTTAAAATTAGTAACATTAACTTTAGGAATTTTTTTTCCTTCTCTCTACATTTCCTACCTGCCCGATTGCCCTGAAGATTTTGCTTGACCAGGCAGATCTTCACTAACTGGAGATATGATGTCAAATTGTATAGGAGTGTCAGGGGCAACAAGTGAATCCAAGGAAAGTGCCGATAAAGCTGCTGATTCAGATCCCAATGACCCTGTGCTGCTAGTACGAGCTGCAGGAGGACGAGATTGCCTAAAACAAAACAAAAAACCAAAATGAAGATATCTTAGTTTCAGGTTGGTTGATAATAAATTAAACCATATGGGAGACCAATACAATATTCCAAAACGTGGATGTAAACCAAAACAAAAACTAAAAACCTGAAGATCAGGGTATAGTAAACAAAAATGGAGTCTGCATTCCAAGTCAAATTTAAGTAAGTTAAAGTTACTACTTGCATTAATAATTGCATCAGACTGTACTATATTTCATATGTGATTATATGTTAATGTTAAAACAATCTGAGGTCTGCTTCCAGGAGTTGGACACATTAAAAAAACAAATCTCATTATGCATTACTACAACAAACCAGACATATGATGGAACCAACAAAACTGTCTAGTCAGCTGGAAATCCAGATTACTTGTAACAGTGGATGCTAAACAATGCTAAAAAGGTGAGTCCAAGAAACTTTCCTCTAGCCTATCAAAGATTTCATTCTGAACATAGAAGGTTTCGTTGGTTATTTTGTTTTGTTTTGTTTTTTTTTCCTGGAACTTTATCCAGGATTCTCTTTATAGATGTGCTCTTCAAATGACCTATAGTTCATTAACTTACATAGTTGGCCGCATACTCTCATGCCTCTGCTGAAAGGAAGGAGATGGAGTAACAGCCTCCAGAGCTGTCTGATTTACACGTGCAGCAATTTCCTGCAATAGAGAGATGGGAAAAAATAACTGAAAAGATTTTCCTCAAAATAAGCTTTAAGATTTTATTTTTATTTATATGCAATTGACAGAAGTTATAAGCTCAACCTTTTGTGAGAATCTTCCATTCCTAAATTTTCACCAACATAGTTGTATTTTCTTCTAACTTGCAACACATTTCCTGCTGTTCACTTTCTAAATTTAAATGAATACACTTGTTTTATAATACTGCAAATGTTAATAAAAGCCAGCAATAGAGAAAAGTCCCAATGACAAGTCTGACAAAATAAGTGAATGTAGCCAGGAAGAAAAAGAAAAATGTCATTTGAGAAATGCAGTCCTCAACTACTAACTAAAAAACACGAAGATTCAAAAGGCTGCACTTGAAATTTGGGAACACTTAAATTTTTCTGAAAAAACAAGATACGAACAACGATCAAGTAAGGACTATGTAACAGTGTTATTTCAGTAAATAATGGACCATTTACCATTGAGGAATACCATTTTAATCTTTCATTGAAATCACTAATTCTGAAGTATCAGTATTAATGCTGATGGCTTCACTTCATGGGGTAAAGCCAATAGCAAAGTCCTTGAGGAAAGAGGATTTTTGGAGAGAGAAAGTGCAGGAGACAAACAATGAAGAAGCAACATTTAGTGTGAGCGTATGACTCAGAAAATGAGAATGACTATAAAGCCATTGGCAAGTGAGGAGAAGGCACTAACATTGAGGTGTAAATGCACACACCTTCACTGAGGTAAGGGAGCTGCACCCGTTTATGCCATGACTAAACAGAACCTCAGCTGTATATTCATCAGAACATCTGCTTTAGGTAACTGAGCTCTCCACTAAAACTGTTTTGTTTCTCACCTGTATAGTTAACTTAAGACAGTCAACCAGGTACTTATATTATCTACAAAGTTGTATTTAGTTCCTAAACAAAAAACTGGCATGACACACTTTCCATTTCACCTTGATCTTCCAGCTCATTTGGCAAGAGCCTTGTGTTACGTAGGCGAATGATAGATTCCTGTATTATTCAACTAGCTGCCTGTTGACTGCTGCATCTACAGTTCTCATCTCTGGTATATGATCACTGGAAAGTTTCCTTTCGAATAACCTGCTTCAGACCTCAGCAGGGACACCAAGGAGTACAATTTCACTTTCAACACACTTTATATAGAGATAAATGCTCTGTTATAAAACAACAGATTTTGTTGGGCCAATTCCCCTAATTTAGCAAGTAAAAATCACTATGTAAGTTTGTATCAATACAAATTTACTATATAAATGTAAATGTAAACCATATAAATGGCATTACCTTACCCAAATTCTCTATAAGACACAAATAAACAATTTATAACTGTTCAAAAGGCAAATAACTCTTTCATGAAGTGAAAATGTTTTTCCTACAAAATTGCTAATGCTCATAAGATTCATATTCATAAAATTGTCAGTTCCCTCTAGCAGAAATTAAATGGATCCATCTCGAGTATTTGTCATATTAATTTGTAACAAAGTATCATATACAAAATACAAATACAGGATCTTGAAGATGTCAAAAAGTTATACCAAATATAAAATTAATGTATTTTTAATGCTTTCTATATAAGCATTTAGATGAAGGAGAAAATGAACTGTATGCTTCCATACCATGAAAAGCTTATAGTTAGACATGTAGGAAGTACTCAGCTTAATTCTGTGCTATCCAATTAGATATCTTTTTAATCTTGTGCATATCTACATCTTAACGTATTACTGATACTATAAATTTTAGTAAAGTTACCTCAGGGTTTTCACTTAAATATATCTGTTTAGATATGTTGTTTATGGTGCATATCCACTGAAAAAGAGAGAGAGGAAAAGAAAGAAAAAAAAAATTTAGTTTTTCACAGTTTTTTGATGAACTTGATTAAATACCTGAGTTGGCTAGTTTCAGCACTTTTTCCACTTCCTTTGTAACTTCAGAGAGCCAAACCAGTACTCTGCGCACCCAGCTTGTCACTAAATTCACTACTATCTGCATACTGCACCTTACAATATCAGATTTTACTTGAAAAAATTGTTTTAGTCACACTAAAGATCAAAACTAAAGCAAGCTTAAATCATGACTCTAGGGAATTAAAAAAAAAAAAAAAAAAATCAGGATTCTCCGTACCCCATTATTCTGTGACTGCAGAAGACATTGTTTGCTCAAGACATTATGAAGATACCATCTGTCTTTTGTGGAATTTGCCCATTTCTTGCATCTGTAAGCTAGAATCTACTTTCTCCCTGTGCTATGGAAAACCGTCTGCTCTTGCTTCTTAGTTTTCTCCTTCAGAGAGAAACTGAAAAGCAAGTGGATTATATGCATTCTATCTGTGCTGCTCCACTGAACCCCAGCTTGTTTTTAGGGTTGTCAGAGGAATTTGAATGCAGGCTGAAAGTACCCTATTTTCTGTATTTCCTTATCCAGCTGCTTGCTCAAACATATCTTAAATCAACAGTGCTTTTAAAACATTTTCTTTCCCATCCTGCCCCTTACTGAAAAGTCTATATTGAATAACAATACAAACAGACATACCTTTTTAATTAACAAATACTTTATGTCAGTTAGTACATTTGTTCCCTTGTTTCTGGACAAATCTGTATTCATAGACTATGAATGTAATGAATCTATCAGTTTGGCCCTTCTGTGCAAGCCTTTGGAAAGCAGTAAAAAGCTGTCCAAATAAAACATAATTTCTAATAACTAGAACCTTCTTTGTTAGACACATACAAGCCTATAACATTAGGCTATTATTTGCAAAAAGTCTAGAGAAACTTCTTATTTTCACCTCTAGAGAAGGCTAAAAAAAGTAGGGAAAAGATATCCCTGCTGGTTGGGTGGGGATTTTTTTCCATTTCCTTTCCCCATCAATATTTACTACAACATATAAGGTTGCTGACCTAGTATTTGAATACTGACATTTCTCAGCTGGTATTCATCCACTGCAAGTAAATCTGCATCACCAGACTTAGCAGCTCTTTGGAAATAGTGATCACTAGCAGCTTTGAAAGCAGTCCAAAACCAAACTATTTCACATTTCTTGATTCAACTTGTTCATGAAATAGAAACATGTTTCCCATCATGCATCAGGGGCAGAAAAACAGTTTTTCCTCATTTCTCAACTGCCTGTATCATTATCTGTGTCCTAACCTAAGACTTCCTTTATTTTCCATTCCTGACAAGCAGGTAGGAATTAAGATGGTTAGGAAGGCATGAACAGGAAGAAGGAGAAGCAGCATTTGTCACAATTCCATTACTGCCAGCTATTTTGCTGTGGGCTTTTTTTTTCTTTTTCCCTTTGTTTCTTCCATAATACTGAAAAGGTCTTAGTGGCAATCATAACTACATTTTTTTCTCTAGGATTTAAACACAGTAATATTTTGTCAGACTTCCTGAAACCTGTCATTATGGACAGGATGAGTTAAAAGTTCACTGCTTCCCATCTAGAGAACATAAAATGAGCATTCCAACTATTGTTATGAACATATTACTTCTGTGCAACAGAAGATTATTGAACTCCATGAGAACCTCCTATAAGCTTACCTCTTCATAATCTTTTTTACTCTCTGCCTGTAAGATTGAAGACCTGAAAGAGGAGAATGGAAAAGACAATTTTGTCTATTTAAAATGCCTCACAAATACATTCAGACAGGAAACTCCATTGTCATGTTTGTACACTGCACAACAAATTCAGAAAGGCTGAAGATTCTGTGTACATGCCAAGTGCAGTCAACATTTAATTGGGGTGGAGAAAAAAAAAAAATTATATTTTCATTTCAATTTAAAACAGAAAAGGAAAAAAGATTCTAACTGTGCCCATGTAACACTTAAGCATTCACAAAATGCAATAGTACACAACTGTAAACTGATTATGGTAATTTTATTCTGAAATACCACTCATCTGCATTATACAGCTTATAAACAAAACCCCAGACATTACAAAGTTAAAAAGACACCCCAGATTTTGCTTCTAAATACCCCCCAAATCCATCAAGCCATAATCTGGCCAAAGGTAGACCATCCTTCTCTTAATTAGTGAGTACAGTATTACTTACAGGTAATAGTAACATAAGAATACTTACTTTTTGCCATCAAAAGATGTTATCTGAAAACAGTACCGTCTGTCTTCACAGTCCACAGCCATTACAGAACAATTGTCTATATCCATGACAAGTCCCCCAGCTACATCACCTCTTGCCTGGCTCATCAGATTTCCACCTTGAGTGAAGTAGAACTGTCTCTCCCAACTAGAAGATACCAGCCCTGTCTTACTAAAAGATAAAAAGAGGTTCTTATTTAGTAGATTAGGAATTCAGCTGAGCTGAAAATCACTTGGAACAAACCATCTAGGCAGTTAAGAAAACCTTTTTCCCCATTTAATGTTTTAGGTTAGCTTTACAGCTAAATTAGTCTCTTTCCATCTGTTGTTTTTTTCATGCTAAACCTATTGCTGGGCAAAGGCTACATAAAATAATAATTTCTTTATTAAATTATGTGAAACAATTTAGAATAAAAAGGCGTAAGTACTTCAGTTTTGATGATCAGCTTTTATGGTGTTGCTTTATACAATATGCATATTCAAATTATATGCATTATCAATATAATTGATAATACCTCTGAACTCTGCACTGACATTGTTAAGACTAAGTTTTGAAGAGCTTTGTGTTAAGAAGTAGCTTAATCATGTAAGATACCTCAATTCTCCAAGTACTTTGTACCATTTAACAAGACTTCCAAAATTTTGCTTACAGCATGTTCCTTTTTTGTCTGTTTGGGGTTTTTCTGTTTGTTTGGGTTTTTTTGGTTTGGGTTGGGTTTTTTTTTAGTTTTTCCCTGAACAACAGAAGAGGAACAATCTGAAACTAAAAATCAGTAACACTTGCAGTTCAGCCTCCCTTTTTGTTCAGATACTTTCTTCAATATTAAGTGCTGCAATTGTGTTCTACTACAGAAATTCATGCCTCATTCAGTGAGTATTTTACTCTAACTGTTGTTGTAAAAGTAATCTACATTTTTTTAAAAACTGCTTGGAGCTTATTATATAAATTACCAAAAAAATCTGAGTGTTAACGATTTATTTTAGTTAACTATAAATATCAGCGGCTAGACTTTAGTAAATAGAGTAACAGCTCCCTCCAGTGGACAAAAGACTACCTCATGAAACTGAGGCAGTCATTCAAAGTGTATTTCAGTTAAGAGAGAATGTTTTGCTTGTGTATCTCAAGGTCGTCATATTTTATTAGCAGCTTGAATCCCAAAGCTTTAACAGATACTTATAGAACAATCCCAATAGCTGCAATCTTGTTGTTTTCCAATTAAAATCCAGTGAAATTACACTCTGATAAACTTTTTCTTTTTGCTGTGAAAATTCAGGCAAAGTTAGACTAAAATCACGATAACTATGCCTTACACCTGAATGACACAATTTCAGTGTAACAGTGAAATTAATACTAATTAAGTGAAGGAGTCCAAAGAAAGAAACAGAATAGCTCCTATGTGACTTACTTAACTAAAGTATGTAAAATCAGCATAGCTAACTTCAAAAAAATATTACATACGTTTTTAGCTTTCCTTTCCCAAAATTAAATATTCTGGAATTTTTAAGTAACAAGTTAGTCTTACTTTCTTGCATTGAGATAGCCAGCCTTCCGTGTTAGATTTCTATGAACAGGAAATTTCGTAGGATCAGGATCAGGCAAATACAGTGGATCACTAGCTACTTCCAAGTCCTCTATAGTTTGTTGCATGTTTTCTACTTCACACTCCATTTCCCTGCGAACACTAAGGTAAATAATGTGTTATTAACAAAGATAATTTATTAATAAGTAAGAAACAGAAAAAAATAATTGTCTTGATAACAGTTCAAAATTCAACAAAAAAAACTTACTTCTGTACACTTGTGCCAATATTGGTCAAAAATTCTTCCAATTGATCAGTAAGATTTTCTGAACCCATTTTAAAAAAACTTATCTTTAAAAAAAGAGGAGGAAAAGGGAGAATTTAGTCATTAATAAAACTACATAAACAATTAACAGATGAAACCACAGGAGGTTAAAGTTTCTCAGAGAAATCTGTTTTCATTCTTCATTCTCACTGAAACCTCTCAATAGAAGGAGCAGAATACACAGTTTTGTTTGCAAGTGAAGGTTGATGCTGACATTGCAGTGAGATTTCATTGTGTCAAGAGGATGTACACAGAGTCACCTGGAGGAAATACAGAAATCTGCAGAAACTGCCCTGGAAAAGGAACAAGATTTGATCTTTTAGTGGTCCCAAGGTGTCTCTATACTTTTTCAAGCCCACCAGTCTGCTAACTGTTGTGTTATGGGTGGGGTTATTTGCGAGGCATAGGAGAGGGGAAACCTGTGAGGACTTGTCCGGGACCATCCTCTAACTGTGGACACTGCCAAGGGGAACTGACAGTATATATCTTAAAAACAGTGTACTCCATATTGGTCCAGAAAAACTGCCACATCTAAATTGAGTTTAGCCATATGAAATCTCAGAGCAGGAAGCCACAGGACATGGCCCTGCCCTTCCCATTCTTAGATTCAGCAAAAACCTGTACCTAAACAACAGGTTGCACTATCTACTTTGTTACAGAAAACATCCAGAGTTTAGTTCTTAAATACAAGCTGCAAAGTTTCAAAAAGAAGCAAGAGTTCTTCTTAGACTCAGAAAAGCTTTCAAACAGTATGTAGAAGTTAATTTCTACTCAGGACACTGTGACAGTGCCACATGCTGGAAAGTTTGACTTTTTTCCTTTTTAAAAAAAAAAACTATACTGATGACATACTTGTGAAAATACAAATTAAGACTCTCCAAAGAACTTGTTCATAATTTTATTTTCTATTGCACCAATCCTCAAATAAACCAGTCATGAACTCATTTACATTAAACAAAACCAAGCCAGAATGATTTTTAGCATTCCAGTTCTTCCACACCCTTGATTTAAAACAGTAGAGACTATCTCATCTCAGAATAGCTGCCACAGGAAAGAGTTTAACTGTCTCCACATTACTTTCTAAGAAGGTACACCTCCATGTGGACTTGCATGCATGAAGTTTTAATCTGCTATTCCCATTAGTGATTGAGTGGAAAAAAGTACCTAGCAATGAAAGTTTAGGCAGTGAAGTAAATTTAGCCATCTGGGGTTTTGGGTAGGATTAGACCTTTATATTTGTCACCCAGACTTTCCTAAAGGATTCTCCGATAGGAGTGAAGGCATGTCATGCTGAGATTCATATACTGAGTGGGAAATGACTAGTGCTAGCTAATGACAGTGTTCACAGCACCAGCTACGACAGCTACAGGGATGAGAATGGGGTATGTCTTTTTCTCCATTTGCTTCCTTGGATTGCAAAAGAGGTCTTGCAATGGATTTCAGTACATCAACTTTCATTAAGTATTTTACGTCGTCTTTCAGACCTACAGCTTTCAGAATCTGAAATTACCTGAGCTTGCATGTATCCTAGCAACGGTTCTAGCATAGCAATTTTCTTTTTGTACTGAAGAGTATTTAATGCACAGAAATAATGCATCATAGTCTGATGCTGTTTTTTCCTTGAAGTATATACATCTTCTGTAACTTCAGCCTTGATCTAAAGAGACACAGACAGGGGGAGGGAGAAAAAGGAATGTTTGAGGCTTGGTATTCATCATATGCCTTCTGGACAGCTTTACAGCCAGCATGGAAAAAACAACACAGGAAATGTTCTACCTTCTATCATCAGCAATTGCATATTTTACCCTACAATTCTGCTTCTCTAACTTATACATGAGAGATACATGAAAAACAAATACAGCATTCTTTTATCCCTGGAAAGGGTGGTTATTTCTTTAAAAAAATAAATTGAATATAGTATCACAATCTTAATCCTAGAGCATTTTCAGTGTTACAAACACAGGCGTGTATTGGGGAAATCTGCTTTTCTGCTCTGAAACAAACCGTCTAGACTACTAAAACATAAACTATCAAACTTCAGCTGGAATCTGCCATACATTGTCTTCCATCATACATATATGTATTAGATGAAAATTACTTCTTATCTCCTCTAAACATCTTTATATTAAGTATTTTATTTTACAAACCTTTTCATTTTCCCTTCTTTTTGACAACCGACTGTATCTGGTAATGGCAGCATCATGGTCTAAGCAATGAAGAGAGAATTTATGATCATTTTGATAAATTAATGACTTATGAAACAGCAGAAAACCTTTTATATCACTGTGTGTTGCACAGCCAGCTGAATGCAAAGTTCTGTCATATTAAAACCTCCAAGAATTGTTCTCGCCTGTTTATAATTACTTCACTGCCACAAATACTTGGGCTGTAGAAAAATACTAACCAGATGCAAATATGGCCAAATTGTTACAAATTTCCCTAAACATCTAATATTCTTCAGAGACAGAAGCTTTCTGTAAGTAGAGACAACTTTCCATTATGAAAACCTGTATCTAATCTTTTTTGCCTCTAAACCAATGAAGCAATTTACATTGAGAGAAGCAGAATCCTTACTTAATCCTTACTTAAAGAATATGTTTCTACAAGGATATAGTAGAGTTAGCTAAAAAAAGTAACTTCCAACAATAGGGAAGAGAACTATCAAACTAAATTTAGGGAGGTAAAATTTATTAATCCAGTCCTGACTTTAAGAAGTGAGCTAGCACCTTACTGCTTTAGTAATTTTGGTAGCATAATCCTAAGTTATTTAATAATTATATATACATTTTAAGTATTGTAAAAAAGATTAATATGTAAAAAAGACTAATACTGTCAATTTGCCTTAACACTTCAGTACACAAAGCAGGGATTTACAAGTGAACCAAGGAAAGCTGGGTGCCTAAGTATCACTGAAAAGAATTACACCTTAGTTAGTCACTTTAAGCCTTACAAATATCTTCACTAGTTTTCTGAGTAAATAATCTACAATAATACTGTCATCTTGTAATATCTATAACATTAAGTATTTTACACTTACCATTGCTTGCAATTTGGAAAACTTCTTTTAGAGTTAATATCTCTACAAAACAACATATCACAATTTAAGTAAGTTGTTATTAACATAACATTTATATATTAAGGTTTCTCATGCAATGTTTCACTATTGAACACTTGTAGTTCACACTTTGTACCATACTGAGTTACCAGTACAAGCCCTATGTGGTCAGGAAAGTCTGCTCCTAGTTAAGGCCCAAGTATCACTTATGTGGCTGTCCAGCTTACCAAAAAAAGATACTGTACTGTACTAAGTTAAGGAGGAACTTCTTTTCAAAAGACTTTGAAAGACATCGTCAATACAAATGTGTCACCTATGGTTCTGGTCTGAGCTGTGGTCTGAGTTGGGGAACTGGAAGCACTGGAGACAGGGAAGTATCACTAGATCAAAGGAAAGCCCCAAACACATTATGATTCCTCCTACCTAAAATTAATCAAGTTCTAGATGGTTACTTAGTCTCACTGTGTCAAGGAACAGAACACAGTACAATACTTAGCACTTGTTCTGATCTTGACTGTGGTTTTGTGTCATATTACAACATAAACAAGCAGAGAGTGGTGTTCAGCTTTATGGTAAAGCAAAGACAAAAAAGCATGGAAAAGCTTTACAGAAAGTGTCTATGAAGTCGATAAAGAAGTATGGTGTCATTAAATACTACATCAGCTGGTGGTTAAAAACTTCCAGTGGGAAAATTTAATTTGCGATTATTGCCTCATGGATGCTTTTTCAGTAAATATTAACAGATTTTTCCATGTTCTGAGGAGTAATATTAGCCTTGAGATACTCATGTTCCCTTGCTCAAAAAGCATAATCTATTTAATCCATAATTTTGTAACAAACTATAGCCAAAGAAGTATTTCCCAAGATTTGTAAAGGGCTACAAGACTTATGGAAGAGTTATAATTTTTATTTCAATTTAGACTTAAAACGTTCATATGTTACATATAGCCACTCTAGGATGTTCACATTAGGTATTTAAGTTATTTTGGTTTTAACTCTTATCATTTATATTTTAAGCCCATTTGCCACACCAGTCTATTCACTTTGGCATCTCGAGTAAAATCTATCAAAATCAGATACATTATATATTATTTTAGACCAGGCAGAGTAAGATACAACTGTTAAAAAATAAGAAGTTGGAAGCGTCTTATGCCTGCATATAAGAAGCCACCTGTATTACCAGCAGAGTTAAAGAACCACCTTACTAAATCTTAATAATATAATAAGTACTACAACTTTGGCACTTTACCTTTTGAGTTTAGTCCAGCCATCATATTGATGTCATGGTATTATTATATATATAAATATTTCCTGAGCATGCAAATTATCTGCAAATTATTCTTTCCTAATGTTTACAGTAAGTGCAAAATTTTCATCTTGAATAGAAGATAAGTGCTTCCATAATATAATATTTCTGTGTTAAAGTTCTTCAACCGTAACGATCTCATGAATAGAAATAACTTACTTTTTTTTTTTTTTTAATTGGGAGATGCATACTTTTGAGAGCTGAAAAATACGTGGCGTATTCTTTTTAGTGAAACAAGAGCTATGGAGATTAAATGCTATGTTTTTGTTATTGCTGCTGTTGATAAAACCAGTATTTGTTCAAGCACTCTACCTTTTAGATCCCTTTCTTTAAACTGGGTAATAGGAAACATCATTGCATCCGCAAGTTGAGTTGAAAGTACTGCGTGGCAAGAGCTGAGCTGTAAAAGACAAGAGAAAGAAAGAAATTTTAGGAAAACAGTGCTGAGACTAAATTAAATCAAATTAAGATAGGCTGACATCAATTTCACTCAAAGATGACATGTACAACTCAAACACAATTTTGCATTCATTTTTTTGCAGCTATTCTTTTTTAGGTTCCTGATCTTATCACTAGCTTTTTATATAAGACCTTTAGAGTTTAGCATTTGTCCCTACTTTTCCAACTTTATTCCAACTTACTGGATCATGTCAGAAGTGGCCTCATACATTCTGATGACTAGTCAGTTTATTTCTCAGTTTGCCTCCAGCTACATCACAGCCCATCTTTCACAGGTTAGAGGTAGAACAACTGTGTTCTTCCTCCCAAAATGCTGTCTAAGCAGTGTTAAGTGTCAGGGATCACAGAAAAAATCCCAATTCAGATCTTAAGTGTGCTAAGCTGTCTTTCGTAAGAATCAGTCTCTGTCTCTAATACAAACAGCAGGAGGTTCATTTGTCAGTCAGGTATCTAAAATCAGACAATACAAATACCTTCATGAAATTATAGTTTCTAGCTGCCATTCTGTAATGTTTTTTGTTTGTATCTCCAGTACATTAAACTACATTTTTTCTCAACAGTGTATCCTCATTTTGCTGAATTGATTCTTTACCTTCAGGTTATATAACTTCAAATATATGCTGCAATATACAATTAAGTGTTACCTTATTGACAAATGAAAGCCATTTCTGTACCTCCTATCTTAAAAAAAGGCTGGAATGATTAAGCAAGTTAAAGTCTACACATGACAACATTAGCAAAGTAAGTGAAACAAATACAAGTACTTGCCTCATCTATCACTTTTGCAAATTGTTGTAGAGTGGAAGTCATAACTTCATCATCTCCCCCTAGTGGGAAACGCTAAAGGAAAATAAAACAAGGCATGTTGTTTGCAGTGTTTTCTGCCATTCATAAAACTGTATTAATCATGTCTATGAATGTATTAAGTGTTCCATTATTTTAAAATATTATACAGTTAAGATACACTGAAGCACTTCTTTATTGTCCTGTGAAGAAGGAATATTTGGGGGTGGCAGGAAGTAATAAACAATTCTCATTTTTTAAAAAAATCTCTTTAAAAAATAGATTAATTAATCTAATTAATGATCTTATAAATTAATTAATATATTGTATTTTACAAAATCAGGAAAGACCCAGACTTGACATGTATGAAGATTTTTATCCAGCTTTGCATATTATTTTAAAATTATTAAAAATTAAGCAATATTTGGTGTTCATCTTAAACTTCTAGATCTTACATTATTTGAAATTTTTAAACCATCCAGAAGAGTGTACTTCTCTAATGCCCTGATGGAGGCAAAACTATGACCAAAATGGTCACAACTGAGAAAGAAATAATTCAGTTAAAACATTATTTGTGTATTTTTAAGCTAATCTCCTGACTGGGAAAAATGCAGTCCAAAGGAGACAAATCAGAAAAATAAGTTAAAAGGTCCAATGCTAATTCAATTCTTCTTTTCATTTACAGCAGCTATACATAAAACACTTGGAAATATAAAAAACACCCAACTTTTTTATTAAAAATTTTGAGCACCTCCTTCCAGCTTGTTAGTTCCCCCTCCTTCTTATCAATGAATCTAACAAACTGTACTTGAAATAAGGATATTTAGTGTATATTTTGATATCCGTAACTGCTAGTGAATAAGAATATCTTGCCCTAATTGGTTCTTCTAAGCTGAAACTAGTTCTTTTCATTTTGATTTTGCAAATACTATATTTTTGCTAGAAAACGGCAGAAACAGTGCCATTTATTAAATAGCTGTGTCATTAAAGTCACTTTGGAATTGTATCAACAATGTTAAAGCAATTCAAATGACAGTACTGCAGCTACTTCTAAACAACAAAAAAAAAAAGAAATAATTTAATTCCTGCTATAATTCAGAGTGTGCACACACATCTTAGGCAGCATTTCCAGTCTGTCATTAGGAATATAAGACTTCCCCCCCCCCCCCCCCCCCCCCCCAAAAAAGACACTTTACATCTTTCTATTTCTCCATCTCTTCCTAATGGGACTACTGTAGGTATGAATACTCACTATTCTTTTGGATCAGCACCATTGTGTTTTTGATCCTATCTGCATTACACCTATTTGTTAGTAACAATTAGCAAAGGAAAAACAAAGTGTCATCTCACACCTCTAGAAAGACTCACGAAATCAAAATAATTTGTAACTAGTACTTTTTCCAGTTCACCTCATTAGGTGGAGAATGAGGATAGGGAATGCCAGCCTCCCTAGAAGAAGCGACTTTTTGTTTTTAGCGTGCATCTGAGAAAGGGGGTCCCAGCAGCATAGCTCCAAATAGGAAACCCTTCATAGTACAGGCTACAAGTGGAGAAAGTTATGGATTCCACAATCTGTGCTTTCAGAGATGGAGTTATTCTCATGCTAAGAGTAAATGATGGTTGTTAAATGGAGACGGCTATGCAATCTCTTCTCTTTGTGACTAGTAAAAGTAAAGCACTTAACAGTAAACAGCCTTATAAAACAAAACCAAAACAACACCACCACCCTAAGCAGCCCCCAAAATGCTGATCCAAAAGTAAAATACTTCAAACTTACTAATATTCATCACAGTTAAGAGGAATTTCATTCTGTTTTAGTTGGAAGAACTATGATGAAGACAGTAGATTCTTTTGGCAAAGATTTGAGCCACCAACTACAGAAATTACTTTATCTGGACTAAACCTAAATACATTCTACAGTGTGCTCTGGCAGGTAAAAGACTACAAAAATACATAGTCCTGACCACACAATGACAACAATGATTTACACAGTACCTGTTTCTCATATTCCTTCAGAAGCTTTGAAGTCAGATGAGTTGCTGCACTTAATTCGTTCTGATTTAAAACAAACAAACAAAAAAACCAAAATCAAGCTTGTTACTTTTGGATTTAAATTAATACTAAAAAAAAGACATATTTGAAGAGGAAACTATTACAAACATAGAACTTAAAATCTGACTACAGATTTTCAGAAAACCTAAGTTAAGCATCCTGCCCTTCCATCTCTCTAACATTATTGAGAGTTACAGGTAATTGGTATTTACAAATACGAAGTTCACAACCTGTACTATGTGCATCGATCTCTGCATTTTTTGTGTTATGCAGTGCATATCTGCATTTAATTATTTCAAATTAGCTGCCCTACTTACTGAGTATTAGGAATTTGTTATCTGTAAAGGAAAGAAAAGATTACAATGAACCTCAGTACTACTGCATTACAAACTGCTCTGTACTTGTACACAGACAGGACCTAATTAGCAGATTCATGGTATCGAACAACTTCATCTTTCATGATGTAGTTGAAGCAGAAGGCACAGAAATTAAAAGCTAAGTAGAAAGGCAGTAAAATAAAACATAGCAGCAAACCTACAATAAACACAGTAGTCATTAAAGTAAAAACAACAGTAAAATAAAAATATGAAAAGCAAGAGTAACAAATCAGTAAAAAAGTCAAACAGTTCAGGTATAAACAAATTAAAAATACAGCCATAAACTCAGTTGTTCAGAAAAAACATACAAAATAGATTCTGTCTTTGGCATAGAAGTGCAGTTACTTATAGATGATGAGTGAAACATGAATATATTATGGGTAAAAAATAATCTCCCACTTGGTACATACTATTATATACACTAAAATCATGATGGGAAACATTTTCAAAGCACATGGGAAATAAAATAGAACTACTAAAAGACCAGAAAATCTTTTTACTTGTCATAAGAAATTCTGTTGCAAAAGAAATCACAAGAATTTAGTCTTTAGCACTCCCTAACATACAGGAAAACAATAATTTAATTATTTTATTTCACTTCCACATTTAAAGAATGTGGAATTTAAAAAAAAAAGCTTATAATAATTTCAAAAAAAGCAAGAGACATGAAGTGCTTTGTAGTGCCTTCAAGAATTTCATTAACACTACCTGTGCATCATATATTCTGTGCATAGCTTGAAATAACTGATTGATGTAATTGGAAATTGCAGCAGCATCTTCTTCAAATACTCCCAGCAAAGACCGTGTCTGCAAAAATGAAACAGCCAAAACACTAACATGTCAAGTTAGAAAAGTAGTATTTAAATGTCGCAGAAATTTAAAACTTAAATAGCATTGTTTCAGGTTTCATTACGGCAAAGTTTATAGACCCTCCAACACTGTTTGCAGGAATGATACCTGTTGCAAGCCAGAGAATCTTAAAGATATCCAAGCTCAGCCTCACTCCTACTGTCAGCTTCTCTCCAAGTTAAGACAAGTACATTTTCAGAAAGAAAGGACCAAGGGAGACAGATAAGTGTATAAAAAAGTTGGAACCGTGGGCAACTACTGGACCCACTATAGTACATCTCTAAGGAAAAGGGTAAAGATAACTGGTATTAAATAGCATGCCAGGTATACACATTTCTTCTGCAGTGAGATCAAAACAAAGGCTGTGGCTTTCTGATACTATCCACCCTGCACGAAGACAGCTGCTGGCTGTGCTTGGACCTATAATCCACCTGGCCAACAACAGTCAGTTCCGTGATCAAAAGGCTGAGGAACTAAAAGCCAAACCAAAACACTACAACCTACATCTTATTGTTCTTAAGATACATGTTTCTCCCCCTCACCACTCCACGGTGAAAGGGATTGAAAAGATCTGTCCTTTTGTCCTCACCCCAGCTTGTCAGCCAGTCTGTTCCTTAGTTGGTGTGGTGCACAAGCTTGATAGCTATGCAACCTATTGCACTGCCTGCATCACTGATGAAGGTGCTTAACAGTATTCACCTCAAAATCAACCTCTTTATCACTGTCCACCGATTAGACTTCAGTTTTTCTACCCAGGTCACAGTCCTCCTGCAACACCATACTTCTCTGTTTTGGCCAGATGAATGTTAACCAGAGACCGTGTCAGAATCCCTGCTTAAGTCAAGGTAAATGACATCCACTGCTCTTCCCTATGATGAAATGACCGACTCCGGATGAGAAGGCAATCAGGTTGCCATAATTTGCTCTTAAGCTTAAATGAGATGCTGACTCAGTGTTCTTACATCCTTTTTGCACTTGGAAGCAATGTTACTCCTCACCATGAGGACATCAAATAGATTCCTTCCACCAAGACAAAAACCCAAAAGGGGGAAGAGCAGAGAATGTACTTATAACTCTGCACAGGCTACATTTGCTTTTCTTAATCTAAAATATTGGTTGAGATGCTTGGATGTAGAAACTGGAGTATCGCTTGCAAGACCCACAAAATAAACCCTTTAACTCCAGTAATGTTTTAGCAAGAGGACTGTGCTTTCTTTTTAAGTTTACACTAAAATTTATGTACAGACAGAAAATTGAAAGAATTGTAAGTACATAACTGGGTTTTCCTCCCAAAATTATGACTGTTAAACACTTGAAATGGGAAGTTCTCTTTCTTGGTCTTTCCTAGGCTAAGTAACTGTGGTTTCCTCAAAAAGGGAAGGAACTTAATGGGACCTGGAAAAGAATGGAAGACTGACACAAGTCTGGACATCAGGAAAGCCTCTCTCATGAGATCAGTGAAAAGCACTGGATCACACTGCATATGAATTGTGGAGGTTTTATTATTAGGGGTTCTTGCTGTGTCAAAGACTTGTCTTGAAATGACTTAGACTTTAGCCCATCTCCCCTTGAAGCATGGAGGTCTTTTTCAGCTACTTTTCTGATTTTCTGCTTTTAATGATAATCAAGGAGTACATATCAAACCTGTACAAAGTATATTATTTGACTATTCTTTTGACATTAAATTCTTTTATTTAACTTGAATTAGATGCCTGGCTGTCTCACAAATATTATCATACCACATAATGCCTACAAGATACTTAAATATTTAAAAAAAATCAAACATCATCCTCAACACAATAAATCACTTTAATGGTGGTTCTAGTTAATAAAACTAGAAAAGAGGGGTAGAGGAGGAAAAAGGTGGAGGAGAAGTCAAATGTTTGCCAAGTGTGGCAACACATTGTGTCATCCTAATAGCTGTGACTCTCCCATTAAAGGAGACATACATGAATGAATGAAAAAGAAAAAATTACGTAGTACCATAACCACTGAATTATATACTCATGACCTTTAAACCTCAACATAAATAAACATGAACTTGTAATTTTAAAGGAGTATCATGTGAGGTTTCTGGATTATGCTTACTCTTTAAAGATGAACACTGTGGAATAAAAGCATTTCTGTATTTTATTGTAAAAATAACAGTTATTGATGTCTGGACTTCAAACTGATATTGTATGATATTGATGGAAAGAAAATAATCTGAAACTGTACACAAGTTATGGCAGACTATTCCTTAGCAAAAAAATTAGAGGAATTATGTATTCATGTTTCTATTAAAACTTTGCATCATTTTGCACGTTCTTTAAGATCCTTTCAACCCATGTATATGAGCAGGTACACTAGAAACTGCCAGTGATAAGCTGCACAAAGAAACAACCTAGTTAGAAGTCAGTGAACTGTTAAGCATTCTATGTAATCGTATGTATGGTAGTGTAAGTGACATGAGATAAAGCCTGTACTATCAAGTCTCTTGGCTTTTTTATTGTGCAATGCTTCAGATATGCAAGTAAGTCTGAGCAAAAACTCTCTCTAAATATATATATAAACACTGAGTATGTGTGTAATATATGTCTTAAGTTAATATTTAAATTGCACTGCTTTGCACAGCAAAAGACAATGTAAACTTGCCTTTGGTTTATGTCTAAAAACACAGTGGTTACATTTTTATCCTGTGACAAAAGGAAATGAATGGGTTTTGCCATTTAAGGAAAGCCTTTCCTTCCCTCAGATTAAGTTTGATATGAGGCTTATAGACGTAAAGTTTGTGTCTGAAACATGTCTAAATGTGCAAAACTCCAGTCCATAGTTCAGTACTAAAAAACAACCTAGGCTGATGATCTTTTTCAATATTACAGCATAAACACATCAATCAGAAAGTCATGGCAACTCCTAAAGAAAGCAAGGTTTTATTCTTTCTTCAAGCAACATTTGTTGCCATTTTCACTGTACTGATTTCAAAATAATAGAAATGAACTAATGTAATAGAAGACCACAGAGTCCTTGTTATGTCCTTCTACGAGGTGGTTAGCCAGAATTCATGTGATATATTAGGTTGACTGAAGGATGTAAAATTTTGTACCTAAGATAGAAGAAGATATTGGCATGACTAATAATTTAAGCACATCAAACTCAATCGGCTGAGTTAGGCTTTGCTAGTCTATATCACAAATAACCTCAAATGGAAGATTCTAGAATTTATAATCATGTTCCAATTTCTTCCATGTGCTTCCCAAGTGGAATTCCAGTCTTGAGTGCTTGGAACCGCCCCCCCCCGCCACTTTTTAGGGATCCTAAGTTTATCTTACATTCGACATTTCCTATAAATATGGATAGTTCTACCTTCTGTATACTAAGAACAGACCTTCAACAGATAATTTTGTTAAATTACTACTATTATAACACTTTCAAAAAATTTTCCTCTTCAGGGGAGTACATCATGTTCAGTCTCTGGGCCAGAGACCATACTACAGGCTAGATCTCATCTAACATCTAGTATTTGAGCTATATGGGGCACTGTCCTTCAGAAAGCAATGATACACTTTCTGCATGGCCTTCTTCTGCTGCCTTTTCTAATTTGTCCCTCCACTTGATGGAGATTTGTTAAAATGGTTGTCATTTTAGGGGCCAAAATTCCCTATTAAGCAAGTGAAGGTTTCTCTTCCTGTGGTTGAGGAATCAAAACTACCCATGCGTATGTTATTACAATATAGGAAGTCTCGTTCATCTACATAAACAATGCAGCAAACAATTCAAAAGGCTGTAATAAAAGGAAATATATTGTAAACTTTTTTTTCCATCTAGGAAGAGCAGTACAAAGTACTTGCTGTTGTTGCTGCCAGCAGGAGAAACCAGTGCAACCCAATAAAGCACTTCCTTCTTAACAGTAGTATAAAAGAAATGCCAATGCAATATATGGCATGACTGATGAAGGTCAAGTGGCAGAATGGAAGTGAAGGTATCAGGCCTCTCAGCACCATGGGTTTCCCACCTACTCACAGCATTAACAGCCGCCACGATAATCTCATCCAATAACTGCTTTTCATATGTATCTATTAAACATTAACGCGTTTTTAGTACGAGACTAAGATAAGAAAAATCCTCTTGAGAAGTAAGGCGGGGTTTTGTCGACACGAGGTCTCCAAAATAAATCACGAATGTAAACGTGGGGTGGGCAACTAAGGGAGTCAATGCGAGCTACCACCCTGGCGCCCGATGCTGAAGCACAGTACCTCTGGAAAATCGTTACCGAGCTCGCTGCTCTACGAACAGCTCATCAGCCCGCCGCACACCTGGGAGGAAGCGGTGATGCAAACGGGAAGAAGGCGTCGCCGAGACTGGGGCGACCGGGGCGACTGCCGACGCTGACAGCCCGAGAGCTGTCAACTCCTGGCCCCAAGCCCCTGCCACGCCACAGGGGCGAGGAGGACAGGAAGGCACCTGGCCGTGCGCGCAGCGTCCCTGCCCCGCTGCCGGGGAGGGCTTCCCCCTCCTCCCGACCGCCGCCGAGGCTCTCCAACCTCTCCCCGAGGGAACGCGGGGGCAGGGAGCGAGAGGGGAGCAGCGCTAGGCCCGACGCCCACGGGTTGGGCCCGAGCTGGCCTTCACCCACCGGCCTGCGTCTTGCCTCTCGTACCTGGGGGCTGTCTTCCAGCGTCTCCTCGATGGGGAGCTTGTCGATGCCGGGCATGGCGGCGGCCGGGGTTGACTCTGCGCCGCTGCAGCTCCCGCACCCCACCGCACGCCCCGCTGGCCGGACCCCTCCCCTTCTCCCCAGTCACAACACAGCCGCCCCCGCCCCGCTTCGCGCCGGATGTCCCGCCCTTCCCCCCTCCATCCTCCCCCCTCCACTCCCCGCTTGGTCTTTCTATTGGTTCTCCCATCCCGCCCGCCCAGCTTGTTATTGGCGAGCGGGCCCATCTGTTTGCGTACCCGCGCGCGTGGGGCCGTTGGCGCTGAGAGGTGCGTCGTGCTTCTGCGTGGGCGCGCGGCTGCGCTCCCGCCCTTCGCCGTGGCGGCTGCCCGGAGGGGGGTGGGGGTGTCGCGCGCGCTGCTCCCGCTCGCGCCCCGGCTCGCGGCCCGCGTGCCCCTGCCGCCCGCCGTCCCTCAGGGCTGGGGGGGCGGGGGGGAGGGGCAGAGGAGCGCGTCCCCCTGTCAGTAAAACGCGGGGCCTTTCGGCCGTCAGATCAGCTCCCGCTTCTCCCGCCGCCCCGGGCCGCCCCCGGTTCGGGGAGGTGAGTGGGGAGCCGAGGCAGAAAGGGATGTTTCCACGCCGAGGTGTCTGTCTGGCGGTGCCGCGGGCAGATGATGGTGGCCAAGCGAAGTTGCTGGGAAAAACCACGCAAAGTCGGTTTTGTTTTTTTTTTTTTAGCTTTTTACCTTTTCAGTTACATGCTCTGTGTTACAATTCAGTATGTCCCCCTAGCCCCGTTCGTGCTGGATGCTGCTGTCTTCTGGCTCAGAACAGATAAGACAATTATCGGGGGCAGAACCACAGTGGGACTAACGCTGTTCTGTCCCTGTCATGAGGGAAGCATCTTTTGCACTCTTTTGGTGTGACCTGGAGTGTCTCTTTTGAGAAGTCCCTTTTTATCGCTGCCATGTTTTTCTCCACCGTCCACCAGGGCTTCTATCAAAAAAGTATTTCTATCCCTAACTACCGAGGACTTTCTGTTACCAAGTGATAGCTTCAGCTGCGGACCTGGTGTTCCTGCTTGTGTCTTAAAAAAAACCAAAAACATTGCTGACTGCCATTTTTCCCGTTCAGAAGCAAGAATATAATCAGTTCTAATGGACTCCCTACTTCCTTAGGCTGGATAAGCTTGGTGCTGTAGGTTGGTGGCCAATTTTAAATGCTTAAAACTACTGTGTGGGCTCGCTGGAATTGAACCAGATCGTTGTGCACTGTTTAAAGAAGAGCGTATTCTTCAATTGCCCTCTCTGATTAGTATGTTTTGACCAAAGTTATTGTACTTTAAATTATTCCTACAGGTTAAGCAATTCATATTTTAAGAGTAGGTCTCTTAGGATGCGTTGAGTATGTACAAATTGCTAATCAAGAATATCCGTCTAAATTTCCATTAATTTAAAATCAGATTAAAATATACTGTGTGTCAAACAAGAGGCTGCATAAAATTCTCACACTTAAAACTAGCAAAAGCAAACCCAAATTTTACATAATATTTGAATTTGCAAACTGGTTCAACTCTGAAATTATTTGATGATACTTCATTTCTGCATTTTAATAGATGATTGGTAACGTTTTAGATGCATCTATTATTACAGCTTAAAAAAAAAAAAAAAAAAGAGGGTGCTCCCTTCCTGGTTTTGCCTTTTTGTGGCCAGGTGAACTTAGTATAATATCAGATTAGAAAGTATACCAAGTCATCTGGCAGAGCAAATGATTAACTATTGTGCAGTCTTGCTGTGGAGACCTTTCTTTATGTTGTGTCAGATCATGTTTTACCTTTAAAAGCAGATAAGGGAAAAGGCTGGTATTAAATTACAAACAAAGTTGAGGGGGGGAGGCGGGGGGGGGGGTGCGGGTTTTTTTGTAGGGAGTGGTGAGGAAATTTCAAAGTTACAACTCAGTTCACTCAGTTCATTTACCAGCTCAGCTGGTGGTGACTCACCTGTCTGAAGCAAGTCACACCACTTCTCTCTTTCCCTGTCATATGAGGGTAATAATATAGAGTTATCTTACAAGGTATTTTAAAGACTAAGTCTTGTATCTGTAATTATTATGTGACAGAACGCTAGCATTGTTTCATGACCTATATACATGTGCATAGCTTTCTGGTTTTGAGATGAGTTAACTTGTGACTAAGTTTTACAGCAGTCTTCTGTAAGAAATGCTCTCTGTTTTGTACTATAAGATGTATTTCCCTAGCAGAATTCAGGAAGGTAGTGACGTGAAATGGAATTGGTTTTAGTTAGCCTTGTATATTTACAGCTATAAGAAGCAGAGGAAAAAAAGAACTTTACCTGCTATGAGTAGAGAACAGCTCTTTGACAATTAAATGTTTTGTAGAAGAAAAACCAAAACACTAATAAATATATCTTTAATGTGTAGAAATGTGCTTTGGTATCTCAGCTGGCATATAGCATAAAAATGTGTCTTGTTCCTGTTGATCTTAGCTATTCAGTTTAATGATTCAGTTTGGTTTAGTAGCAACAGAGAGGCCTTTCTAATAATTTCGTAGCATACCAGGGCCTATTAGTAGTCGGCTTTTTTAATAGAGCCCTTATGTTGAAACATTCTGTAAGATATTACTACTCTTGTTCTTACCTTTTCCGTATGTTTTTTACAAGTGTTACAAAGAATCAAAAATCTTTATTTGAGATACAAATTTGACAGCAACAGATGAGATTTGACAGTAATGAATTTAAGAATCCCTCTGAACTGTCTAATAAGTGTGTTTTTAGTGTTACACTTTTTTCAGCATTGTGGGGTTTTTGTTGGTGGGTGGGGGTTTTTTTGGGGGGGGGGGTTGGATTTGTGGGGTTGTTTTGTGAGTGTTTTTTTGTTGGTGTTTTTTTTGTTCTTCCTGCAAAATACTCACGAAGAGGCCTTAAAAATGGGGGGAACTAACACTTGGCACTATGTAAACAGGGAAAAGAGCAGCCAACGTCTCTATAGAGGATTCCAGATGTGTCCCCCAATGGAGAGAACATTTTGCCTCTGCTGGAGGGTGAAAGTAGCTGTCTGGATAAGGTAGGCTTTATTCGCATGTTACCCACCGTTTCTCAGACTTCTGTTAGTTAGTGCCACCCTTGGTTTTACCTTGAATTTATCTGTATCTGTGTTCACTTAATCTCCCTGGATAAAAATAGCTTTTACTTCAGCCAAGAAATAGCTAACTGCTTTTAGTCATGTTTTGTGAAAATTGGTGTTAAGAGTTTTGAGGTATTCTTGCCTAAAAAAAAAACCCAAACAACCCACAAACTAAAAACTTTTGAGTTTTGAAGTTGGCTTTGAATATAATCTTTGTTATTCATGTTCAAAACATATTTGAAAGTGAGCTATATGCAGCAGAATATCTGAGGTGGTGAAATACTTGTGCAGTGGGGTAAAGAAGCTGTGGGAAAGGTGAGTTGAAAGGCAATTTTTTTGAGTGTGATAAGTAATCAAGAAAGATCATATATGCCATTTATACCTTCTTAAAATGCTGAAAATATTGCATAGGTTGTTGTGAAAGGTGACCTGGCAGTGGAGTAGCAATGGGTGAGAATAGCAAAAGGTAGCAATAGTAAGCATTGGGGTTTCAGACCAAAGCCAGCAAGAACTCTTGGTGTGGTCTCTTCAGCTGGTATAATCAGAGTCCTTAGAGGCTTCACATCTCTAAAGAACAAGAGCTTCATCTACTAAACAGATGAACTCTACTGTCCCTGGGCAAAAAAACAGTGGTACAAAATCTGAAAGGGACATTAGTTTGCTGCCTCATCAAGTATGTGATGCTGTAAGAGGATTGGATTTGCATATCTAAGGAACAGTGATTTCTCCTATCATTGATTACTTAGGATTTTCGACTTAATGTTTGTTGTGTTGCTCTAATTACCCCTACAATGGTGTTTAGCTAAAACTCCATAGGTAGTTTCATATAGGTTGCAGGGGAAGTATTGATCATTTCTAATGGGCCAAAATAAGGAAATACAGTTTTTGAGTGAAAGCTCAAGGTCTATTGACACTTGCAGTGGGAATTCCTAGAAATTTACTACAAGGTATTCTTGGATCTAAAACTTCAAGTTTTCTGCCCTGTGGAAAATACATTTTCATCCTTATTTCTTAGAGAAAGATTTGTTGACTGTTTATCTTGATAACAAATAGCTTTCTTCTACAACTAAGCAAGCTGCTGTTCAAAGAAATCTAGCAACATTTGAATGCTGGACCTTCAGCCAGACTTTCCAGTAGATTTATCTCTACATATATGTTGTTTTAGAATTATAGAATGGTTTGGGTTGGAAGGGCCCTTTAGAGATCATCTAGTTTCAACCCACCTTTGGGACATTTTTCAGTGGATGAGGTTGCTCAAAGCCCCATCCAACCTGACCTTGAACACTTCCAGGGATGTGATGGAATTTTGACATAATGCAGACTTCTTATCTTTAGAATAATTTCTCTTTTCTTGTGAAATTTTCATAAACAATTATGTGGAGCTGCATTAGCATTATAAAGGTCTTTTAGATACATGGTGTTTCAATTTCACTGAATTTCTCAGAAATTGGAGAGCATAGTGTGAGCATCTACCTTGTGACCTTCTGAATTGGTACTTGCTATTCCTATGTGCAGTTGCAGTCATGAACTCTGTTTAAAAACAGGAGTGTTGATATGTTTCAGTGACTGCATTGCAGTCTCCAGGTCTGATTCAATTCAACATTGAGCAAATGAACGTAATATGATTATTTTAATAATAACACTGTTACTCGGATAACATTGCTGAATGAACCTAACGGCTAGGCAAGGCTAAACACCAGGTGGCAGTATTTGGCGAGCTTCTAACCTGTCCCTAGCAAATGAGTTAACTGGTTTTGGCCTATTTTATGAAAATTCTTCTTGAGAGTTACAAAGACCTCTTTTCCCTGAAAAGTCATTAAAAACTCTGAAAGAATGAGTGTTTCCAACTGGGAATTAAAAGCAGACTACCCTAAAGAAGGTTTTTTCCATCTTCCACAATCTGAGAGACCAAAAATAAGTTATAATTCTTGGTTTACTTAATGGTTAGCTTTGGGAAGATACGTGCCTCTCATAAATGTGTCTCTTACCACCACATATGCCTGTCTTTACTGATAGTTCTTGATAGCTTCCTGAGAAGAACACCTATTAA